CCTGACATTTAGTCTAGTTGTGTCCAATTCTGGGGGATGGTGCTCATCTCCATTCCTAAGCCAAAGAGCTAACGTCGTCCGTAGACACCTCCAAAGTCATGTGGCCAGCCTGACTGCATAGAGTGCCGTTACCTTCCCGCAGAAGCAGTATCTATTGATCTACTCACATTAGTATGTTTTTGAACTGCTAGGTTGGCAGAAGCTGGGGCTAACTGTGGGAGCTCACCCTGCTCCCTGGATTTGAACTGGTGACCTTTCGGTCAGCAAGTTCAGCAGCTCAGCAGTTTCACCCACTGCACCAGTGGGGGCTCCATTAAAAAAAGGATTCAAATCCTAGCTTGGCATTGGGAACTCATGAAGCCTCTCAGTCTCAGAAGATAGCAAATGTCCTCTGTACAAATATTGTTTTAAAAAAATCCCGTGATAGGTTTTTCTTAGAATCACCACAAGCAGGAAATGAGTTCAAAATATCCAACAATAAGCTGTACACTGCCTGAAGAACTTTTGTAGGACTGCAATTTAAAAGGGCAATAAACCAAACAAACATGCTAAACGTTGCAGTGGACCTGGGACTGATCACAATAAATGGGTGCATCTTCCATTTTGTCTTCTAAAAGAGACAGTCCTTGTGATGAATACAGGCTTTGTTCTTTGAAACCATGCCAGGACAGTTTTCTCATTGGCTTTCAGAAGAAGAATAGGAACAGCCTGAAGCAGAAAACTAGCTTGCTCCCTCCTCCCTATGACTTCCTCTCAGCCTTCTCTTCTTCAGGGTAAACATGCCCAGCTCTTTAAGCCGCTCCTCATAGGGCATGTTCTCCAGATCCTCGGTCATTTTAGTTGCCCTCCTCTGGACACATTCCAGCTTGTCAACATCTCCTTTCAATTGCAGGAGATTTATTACATTCTTTTTAAAAGCCCACCTGTGATAGTGTTTATCTTCAGTGGCAGCAGCAAAAACTTAAGGAAAGGAAAAACAAAAGCTAAGATCAGTCTAGATGATGCAAATGCTTAAGAAATATCTTGATATGAATTTCTGCTTTTGGGCCAAAAGAAGGAACATTTAAATATTTATAGATAAGGGTTGTTCTTCTTCATTCTAAATCTATTAATCCTCCTAGTTGCACAACATGCATTTATATCACTATTGCTTAATAATAAAGATATCGCTGTTGCTGAAGGCAGCTCACCCCTTTTAGTTATTTTTCCTCTTGCCAATGATTCACAATTGAATTCTGGCATCTAGTGGTCAGACCCATTAATGCATGCTGAAATGTGGAACCCTCAAGCCTCACAAATTTTTGATATTATAAAAAATAATTCATGTTAGGAGCGACTTGAGAAACTGCAAGTCGCTTCTGTGTGAGGCTGTAAGGAATGGTGGGAGTTAAAATCCAATACACCTAGGGCCCAAGTTTGCCCAGGCTTGGTTTAGTCTTACCGTACTAAAAAGCAGCCCTTTGCAAATTAAATTTAAAATGGAGTGTAGATACTGACTCAATGCAGAAACAATAGAGATATTATCTTTATAAAGGATCCCAACAAAGGATTCCCCCATGCAGGAAGCAGCCAGGTTTTGAAGCTGCAAGGCTATTCAATGCTAATCAAGGTGATCAATTGTGATGTAACAACCCCTGAGGATGTCTGCCATAGATGCAAGCTAAACGTCAGGAGAGAATGCTTCTAGAACATGGCCATATAGCCCGAAAAACCTACAATCCAGCGATTCCAGCCATGGAAGCCTTTGACAATAAATTGCAGCATTCACACTTGCCACAAACAGACAAAGAATTCTTTCTTCCACCCTGGACATTTCACAGATGTATTAACCTCACTTGCCTTGTTTTTAACTGACCTCACAACCTCTGAGGATGCCTGCCATAGATGTGGGTGAAATGTCAGGAGAATGCTTTTGGAACATGGCCATGTAGCCCAGAAAACTCACAGCAACCCAGTTTTCTACTTTGTCAGTCTTTGTGCCATGTTTTGATATATGTATTTTATTTTTATGTATTTATGTTGTTATGTTTTGACTTGGCTATACCCGGAATTATTGATTGCATCATCCTCCATGGGATGGGCTTGGATTGGATAACTCCTGTGGCCTCTTCCAACACTTGCTGTTTATTCATTCAGTCATTTCCGACTCTTCGTGACCTCATGGACAGGCCCACGCCAGAGCTCCCTGTTGGCCACCACCACCCCCAGCTCCTTCAGAGTCAAGCCAGTCACTCCAAGGATACCATCCATCCATCTTGCCCTTGGTCGGCTCCTCTTCCTTTTCCCTTTCATTTTCCCCAACATCATTGTCTTCTTTAAGCTTTCCTGTTTTCTCATGATGTAGCCAAAGTACGTCATCTTTGCCTCTACTATTCTTCCCTCCAGTGAGCAGTCGGGCTTTATTTCCTGAAGTATGGCCTGGTTGCATCTTCTCGCAGTCCAAGGTACTCTCAGAATTTTCCTCCAATATCACAGTTCAAAAGCCTCTATCTTCCTTTGCTCAGCATTCCTTATGGTCCAGCTCTCACATCCGTAGGTGACTACGGGGAATACCATTGCTTTTACTATGCAGATCTTTGTTACCAGTGTGATGTCTCTACTCTTCACTATTTTATCAAGATTGGTTATTGCTCTCCTCCCAAGAAGGAAACGTTTTCTGATTTCCTGGCTGCAGTCTGCTTTTGCAGTAATCTTCGCACCTAGAAATACAAAGTCTGTCACTGCCTCCATGTTTTCTCTATTTACCAGTTTTCAGTCTGGTTGCCATAATCTTGATTTTTCTTATGTTTAACTGCAACCCAGCTTTTGCACTTTCTTCTTTCACTTTGGATAGAAGGCTTCTGAGCTCCTTCTCACTTTTAGCCATAAAAGTTGTATCATCTGCATATCTAAGGTTGTTAATGTTTCTTCCAGCAATTTTAACTCTAGCCTTGCTTGTCATCAAGCCATGTGCATCGCATTATGTGTTCAGCATACAAGTTGAATAAGTTGGGTGAGAGTATGCAACCATGCCTTACGCCTTTCCCAATCTTGAACCAGTCTGTTGTTCTGTGGTCAGTTCTTACTGTTACTACTTGGTCATTATACAGATTCTTTAGGAAACATATAAGGTGGCTTGGTAACCCCATACCAACAAGAACTTGTCACAATTTATTATGATCCACACAGCCAGAGGCTTTAGAACAGTCAATAAAACAGAAATAGATGGTTTTTCTGAAACTCCCTGCCTTTCTCCATTATCCAGCAGATATTGGCAATTTGGTCTCTCCTTCCTCTGCCTTTTCTAAACCCAGCTTGAACATCTGGCAACTCTCGCTCCATGTATTGCTGGAGTCTTCCTTGCAGGATCTTGAGCATTACCTTACTGGCATGAGAAATAAGGGCCACTGTACGGAAGTTGGAGCAGTCTTTCGCATTTCCCTTTTTTGGTATGGGGATATAAGTTGATTTTTTTCCAGTCTGATGGCCATTCTTGTGTTTTCCATACACTACGATTCTGAATCCTTTCCCTGTCTTCCAATGTGTTTGCCCTTTCTACCAGCGTTGTATCCTCTGCAAACTTTGGAACCATTGCTTCCACTCAGCTCTCTAAGAGAGGGGGCCAGGGACAGTTCCACCTTGTCTCCTGTGCTATGCTAATAATAGAATAGAATATATTGTATATGCATATAATATCTATATTATAATGTAATACAATATAATACTAATAATAATATATTACAATTATATATTTTATATTACATGTAACATTACAAATAATATTACAATATAATGGTATAGTACAATATAATAATCTATATAAATAAAAATGTAATGTTCGTTTGTGGGATTAACATAACTCAAAAACCACTGGACGAATTGACACCAAATTTGGACACAATACACCTATCAGACCAACAAGTGACCATCACTCATAAAAAACACTGAAAAACACAGCGGAAGGGATTTAAAAAGCCAAAAAACAAAAATTACATTACAACACATGCGCAAAACCACATATATAGGCAAACACACATATACACACACACAAACACATACACAGAAAGGGGGAACAAAATAGGAGAGAGAGAATGAGGGAGATGAGGAGGGGAGAGAAAGAAGGGAAGAAAAAAGAAGAGAAGGAGAGAAGGAGGGAGACAAAGAGAGAAAGAAGGAGGGAAGGAGAGAAGGAAGGAAAGAAGAGTAGAGAAGGAAGTAAGTAGAGAAGGAGGGAGACAAAGAGGAAGAGAAAGGAGGAGGGAAGGAAAGAAGGAAGGAAAGGCTAGAGAAGGAAGGAGAGAAGGACAGAAAAAGGGAAAGAAGGAGGGGGGAAAGAAGGAAAGGTAAGAAAGAAGAGTAGAGACGGAAGGAGGGAGAAAAAGAGGGAAAGAAGGAGGGAAGGAGAGAAGGAAGGAAAGAAAGAAGGGTAGAGAAGGAAGGAAGGAGAGAAGGAGGGAGAGAAAGAGGGAAAGAAGGAGAGAAGGAAATAAAAAAGCGAAAGAGGGAAGGAAGGAAAGAAGGAACGAAAGAGGGAAGGAAGGAAAGAGACAAGGAAGGATTGAACTAAAGAGCAAAGGAAGCAAGAAAAGAAACAGGTAGAGAAGAAAGAAGGGAAAGAAAAAGAGGGAAGGAAGGAAAGAGGGAGGGAAGGAAGGGTAGGAAAAAAAAGAGAGCAAGAGGGAGGGAATGTTGGCCAAAGCAAAGCGTGGCGGGTACAGCCATATAATACTGATATTGTACTATGCTAATAATATAATAAATTGTATGTATATATATCTTGTAAGCCGCTCTGAGTCCCCTTCGGGGTGAGAAGGGCAGCAAATAACTGTGGCAAATAAATAAAATAAATACATTAGTCCCTGATAAACAGAAGCCTCTTTCCCGCGCGAAGCACATTCATTCTTCTACTTCCGGCCTCTCGGCTCACCCCGCCCCCTTTCGAAACCTCGTCCAATTAGAATTGTCCTCATTGGAAACAGGGAGGTGCTGGGGCGAACTCCGCGCAGGCGCACATCGACCCGAAGTCTCCTGCTCCTCCTCCTGGCCCATGCGTTCTCTTCGCGCGCGCCGGCTTCACGCGCTCAGAGCTGCCTCTCTCTCTGTCTCTCTCGGTACCGGCTGGGCCTTGTCGGAGCGCCTCAGAAAGAGAAGCCTCGCCCAGCGGTGGGTTAGTCCTTGTGAGGCGAAAGGTGAAGGATTGCTTTTGGATTCTAGTGTTGGGCAGGTTGGGTCTGATGGTTGGATTGGATCCTGGGTTTAGTCCAGGCCTGGGCAAACTTGGGTCCTCCCTCCAGGTGTTTTGGACTTCAACTCCCACCATTTCTAACAGCCTCAGGCCCCTCAGGGCCTGAGGCTGTTAGGAATGGTGGGAGTTGAAGTCCAAAACACCTGGAGGGAGGACCCAAGTTTGCCCTGGTCTGGTTTAGTCTTGCAGTACTTGAAAGCAACCCTTTGCAAATTAAAAAGATGGAGTGTAGATACAGACTCAATGCAGAAACAATAGAGATCATTGTGTTTATAAAACATTAACCTGCTTGCAATTGACTTTTTATTGAATTGAATAGCTTTATTGCCATTGTTGTACATTGTACTACCCCGGGTTAAACCACTGAGCTGCTGAACTTGCTGATCGAAAGGTTGCAGGTTTGAATCCGGGGAGCGGAGTGAGCTCCTGTTGTTAGCCCCAGTTTCTGCCAACCAAGCAGTTCAAAAACATGCAAATGTGAGTAGATCAATAGGTACCCCTCTGTTGGGAAGGTAATGGCGCTCCATGCAGTCATGCTGGCCACATGACCTTGGGGGTGTCTATGGACAACGCTGACTCTTTGGCTTAGAAAAGGAGATGAGCACCAATAATAAATAATAATAAACCTTTATTTATTTATTTATTTATTTCGGCTGTTTCTACCCCGCCCTTCTCACCCCAGAGGGGACTCAGGGCGGCTTACAAAAGCAAGGCACAATTCGATGCCCGCATGACATCACAACAAAGACAATAACATCAGTTAACAAAACAGCAATTCTGGCAATAACACAATTAACAGAAACAGTAATTATTATAGGCAAAAACAACCATAAAACCAATAAGAGCAATAAAACCAATATAAACCTCATTGACGGTCAGCGTTTCACAATCTCATAGTCAAATCCCAATTCCACAATTGTCAGTCCTTTCAGTCCTAACCATCTGGCTGCCATGTCTAAATGTCAGATTGCCCAAAGGCCTGGTACCACAGCCACGTCTTTACCTTCCTCCTGAAGGAGAGGAGGGATATTGATGCCCTAATTTCCCCCGGGAGTGAGTTCCACAGGTGGGGGGCCACCACTGAGAAGGCCCTGCTCCTCGTCCCCACCAGCCTCACTTGTGATAGCGGTGGGGTTGAGAGCAGGGCCTCGACCCCACCGCCATCTCCCGCAGGACTCGGTGCGGCTTACAAGAGACCGAGCCCAAATATAACAACAATAAAACGTAACGACAACAATACAACAGTAAATAACTCATAAACAAAGCAAAACAATAACAATAATATCACGACGCATTTAAAAACCAGTGGCAGGGCCAAATGTAATAATTAAATTTTTTTTAAAATGCTGGGCATGTCAAAGTGAAATAGGATGGATATTTTTAGGGATAGGTGGGCGTGCAGACAGTCCTAAACTCCCAGAGTCGGACATGACTGGACTTAATGTCAGGGGGAAATCTTTACCTTTTTTACTACTGAACAATGAAATTAAATGCTTTCCCCACCAGACATCACAAAACAGCACACCCATCCCTCCGTACCCCAACCACCACTGCACAGCCCCCAATGCCACATTAGTGCAGAACCATGGAGTTCAATATAATTACCGCTCATGGATAAAAGCTATCTTTCAGGCCTCTTCCACACAGCTAAATAAAATCAGACATTATCTGCTTTGAACTGGAATATATGGCCGTGTGGACTCAGATATCCCAGTTCAAAGCAGATGTTGTGGGAATTTCTGCCTCGATATTCTGGATTATATGGCTGTATGGAGGGGCCCTTTGTCTGTCCTTGCCTTTGTAACCCTGAACCTTCTGCCCGGTGGTGTGTATGTCAGGAGCGACTTGAGAAGCTGCAAGTTGCTTCTGATGTGAGAGAATTGGTCATCTGCAAGGACGTTGCCCAGGGGATGCCCGGATATTTGATGTTTTGCCATCCTTGTGAGATGCTTCTCTCATGTCCCGCATGGGGAGCTGGAGCTAACAGAGGGAGCTCAACCTGCTCTCCTTGGATTTGAACTGCTGACCTGTTGGCCAGCGTTCCTGCTAGCACAAGGGTTTAGCTCATTGCACCACCAGGGGCTCTGTGCCAGATGGTAATTATTATTATTATTATTATTATTATTATTATTATTATTAACTTTATTTGTACCCCGCTAGCATCTCCCGGAGGACTCAATGCGGCTTACACAGGCCGAAGCCTCAGAACACAATACAATAAAAACATAACACAACAATAGACAAAGCAAATCAAATAATTAAGCAAATAACAACAAAGCAAATCAAATAATTAAGCAAATAATAACAATAACAATACATCAAGACACCATTAAAACTGGGCCGGCCAGTGCAAAGGGGTACAGGGTTAAAAGTGCTGGAATGGTAGGAGGAACGTAGGATAAATAGTGTGGTGTGCAGAATATTAATTGTACTAAAGTGCTTCTAGGACTTGGGATGGGGGATTCCTAATCTGAGAAGGCACATCGAAACAGCCAAGTTTTTAGGTTCTTTCTGAAAGCTGCTAAAGTAGGGGCCTGTCGAAGATCTTTTGGAAGGGCATTCCAAAGTCGGGGGCCGCCACAGAGAAGGCCCTGTCCCGTGTCCCCACCAAGCGCGCTTGCGACGTGGGTGGGATCACGAGCAGGGCCTCCCCAGATGACCGGAGCGAGCGTGTGGGTTCGTAGATGGAGATGCGGTCACGCAGGTAGGGTGGTCCCAAACCGTTCAGGGCTTTGTAGGTGAGCACCTGCACCTTGAATTGGGCTCGGAAAGTAAACGGCAGCCAGTGGAGCTCCTTAAACAGGAGGGTTGACCTCTCTCTGTAATGAGCCCCAGTTAACATCCTGGCTGCTGCCCGTTGGACCAGTTGGAATTTCCGAGCCGTTTTCAAGGGCAGCCCTACGTAGAGCGCATTGCAGTAATCCAGTCTAGAGGTGACCAAGGCATGGACCACCCCGGCCAGATCAGCCTTCGCGAGGTACGGTCGCAGCTGGCGCACAAGTCTCAATTGTGCAAAAGCCCTCCCGGACACCGCCGACGCCTGAGCCTCAAGTGTGAGCGACGAATCCAAGAGGACACCCAAACTGCGGACCTGTGGTTTCAGGGGGAGTGTAACCCCGTCCAACATAATAATAATAATTTAAAAAGAATATGCTGGGTGAGATGGATCCTTAAGAATGTTCTGAGCTTTCTTAAGGTAGCGGGACTTAATAAAGTTTTTCCAAAGGGGGTAGAGGCTGGGTCAGAAGGATTCAAGGGTGGGGGCTAGCCTAAACTCTTTTGGGAGGGTATTCCAGGGCCAGGGAGCCACCACAGAGAAGGCCTTCTCATTCCCACCAACCGCGCATGAGACGGTGTTGGGACTGAGAGAAGGGTCTCCCCTTCAGATCTCAAAGCCTGGACTGATTCTTAGAAAGAGATGTGGTCCTGAGGATACCCGAAGCATATAGGGCTGCACCTTGAATTGAACCTGGAAACTTATCAGAAACCAGTGGAGCTGTTTTAGTAGAGGCATAGTATGTTCCCTATAGCTAGCCCCAGTTAGTAATCCGGCAGTCAACCTTTGCACTAACTGCAGTTTCAGAACTGTCTTCAAGGGCAGCCCCAGGTAGAGTACATTACAGTAGTCCATTGTGAATGTAACTAAGATATGGATCACCATGGCCAAGTCAGGCTTTTTGAGGTACGGTCGCAGCTGGCGCACAAGTTTTAACTCTGTGAAGGCCCTCCTGGGCACTGCTGACACCCGAGCTTCAAGCATCATCCAGACTGACCCAGACTGTAGATCTGTGTCCTTGGGGAGTATAACCCCATTGACCACAGGTTGCCACCCTATACCCCGACTGGCCTCGCATAGTCCACTATGAGCCCCTCGATCTTATTGGTGTTAAGAACCAGATTATGGTCCCTTCATCACGAGAGCAGCTGCTATTTTATAGGGATATTTTAGTAGATATTACTTTGTAAGTTATAGATAAGAAAGTGTGTTCTACAGCAGTTCCCATGAGCCCTCATAACTGGCATTGCTGGCTATGATTGATGTAAATTGCAATGTAACATTTGCACATATACCCTCTTTTTTGGTCTAAAATTAAATATATAATGTACATTTTAAACATGTATTTCATTATGGTTTTTATTGTTACTGATGTTAATTGTAATGAATTTTTACCTGTGTTAAATGTTTTTAATGTTTAAATTATTTTTGTACTGTTGTGGGCATCGAATTGTGCCGTTTTGTAAACCGCCATGAGTCGCCCTCGGGCTGAGAATGGCGGTATAGAAGCATAGTAAATAAATAAATTATTTATACTGTCATGTTTGGATTCAAAAGATAATGTGGTCATCCCAACATTTAGGCAGAGATGTTTTATCATGTTTCCAGATTAATGTTTTTCTTTTCCAGGTTTTAAAGCAAATGAAGTACATTTTGGTAACTGGTGGTGTTATCTCTGGAATTGGCAAAGGGATCATTGCCAGCAGTGTTGGGACAATTCTCAAATCATGTGGATTGCACGTCACTTCAATTAAAATTGACCCGTACATTAACATTGATGCAGGCACCTTCTCTCCTTATGAGCATGGTAAGATGGGGCGAACATTTTTTCTGTGCAATGCATGACCAAATAATGCATGGTTTTAATCATGGGGGGGGGGGGTGCTCTTTTTGGTGTTCATTAAATAAATTATATTTTATCTGAATTGGTTATAGTGTGGGGAATAAATACTTAAACTATTCACCTGCAGCAATCACTCCTCTGCAGCAATCATGTTTACTGCCAAAAATACTTCAATTCATTTCATTGGCGTCTTCGTTTTTCTTTTGTAAGTCTCCTTTCTCATCAGAACTGAAGCTATAGTAAGCAGGAAACATTGAATTGCCTTGCCTCATTTCTCATGCCAGTCTCTAGAAATCACTTATAATAGGTGCACACTTGTTAGCCCATAGGACTACACTATAATAGTAATAATAATAATAATAACACTTTATTTATATTCCGCCCTATGTCCCCAAGGGGACTCAGGGTGAATCACAGTACACATACACGGCAAACATTCAATGCTATGTTTGACGTCAGCGCCTTGGAAGTTGTACTCGAAATCCATCCATGGGGGTGCTGTCGCTCCATCCTCTAAGACGAAGAGCCATCAGGACTTCCTCCTTTTTGGTCACTAGCATTTTTTGGTCTTTTTCTTTTTGTGATGTCATAAAATACCTCCTCTGGTTTTTTTAGCGGTACCTAATTTCTCTAATTACAGCACAAGCTGTTTTTGAACTGCTTAGGTCAACAATAAGTTGGGCTTGATAGTCAGCAGCTCACGCAGACCTGCTGACTATCTATCAACCTTTCAGTTGGTAGATGTTATAATTGCTGGTGATTTTACCAGCTGTGCTAACCCCGCCATGTAACAACCAGCCAGGTTTTGAAGCTGCAAGGCCATTCAGTGCTAATTGAGGTAGCATTTGCAATATCCATGCCTGCCTCAGACAGACAAGAGTTCTTTCTCCCATCCTGGACATTCCACATATATAAACCCCACTTGCCTAGTTTCCAACAGACCTCGCAGCCTCTGAGGGTGCCTGCCATAGATGTGGGTGAAATGTCAGGAGACAATGCTTCTGGAACATGGTCATACTACGTGGAAAACTCACAACAACTCAGAACTACACTGATTGCATTTGATTTCCTCATTAGCCTAGGATTTGAAGTTGTCAATACTGTTTGTGGGTCTGTGGCAATTTGATTGAAGCTACAGTATATGAAATATACAGACAAAGGCAAGGATCAGGCAGACTCCTTTCATTGGCCAGAGAAAACAGATGCTGAAATTGGTTCTCAAATAGAAAAAAGTGGTTTCAATTGAGAATTGTCCTGGTACAATAGGAAAACATAATTTGGCCCCATCCACAAGTAAGAGGAGTATGTAACTGTTGGGTTGTGTGAGTTTTTATATAAACACAGACTTAAGAATCATTTCATAAAAACATTGCTTATAAATACTCAATAGTATATATACTGAAAGTTATATGGATGGAGGATGATGAGCAACGATTTTAGTATGACGACTGATCATTATAGTTATTGATTGTAATTGCTGTTTTAATGTTTTACTGTAATATGTATTATGATGTTTTATTGATTGTATGTGATATTATGGTTGGAAACCGGTCTGAGTCCGTCAAGAGAGGCGAGAAGGTCGGTATACAAAACGTTTAAATAAATAAATAGTCTTTGAATCTTAGAGATTGGAATATGCATATATCAGTGTTGTATATATGGCTGGAACAGAGATTCCTTAAATAATGAAGTAACCACCTAGAAACATCTTATCTTTGCTGTTGTCATGTGATAAAGGGAAACAAATGGAATGTTAAGATCATTTTCAACAGATGATATGTGATATAGAAAAGAAGGTGACGGCTGTATTTAAGCAAGCCCAATCTCTGAATGTAACATTTGTAGGTGAAGTGTTCGTGTTGGACGATGGAGGGGAAGTAGATTTGGATCTGGGTAACTATGAACGTTTTCTTGATATCCGACTCACAAAAGATAATAATCTGACAACGGGGAAGATCTATCAGTATGTCATCAACAAAGAAAGGAAAGGAGACTACCTGGGCAAAACTGTTCAAGGTAAAATCCTGGAAATACAGTTTCTCTTGTTGAGGAAATGTTCATAATATCAATATTGTTAAAATATGGATGTGCTTCATTTCAGTTGTACTACAAAAGTAAATAGGTAATGGCAATGGTATTGTTTTTATAATATTGATAAAGATGTATAGTACTATATCATAATTTATTTTTTACTTTTTTATATACTGCATTGTGCAACTCCAGTATGTCCTATATGCAACTGAGGAGGAAGTGGTATATAATTTTCTGAATAGAAGGCAAAGTAGTTGAATATGTAGCCACATTTACATGTTCTGTGTAGGTTTGCAGAACTTTGACTTATTATTCATGAGCAATATGCCAATGTGCACAGCAAAGTGACCTCCACTTCACTCTTCCCACTAGCGGGAAAAGATTTCCTCCAGGCAGGAAGCAGACAGGCTTTGAAGCTTCAAGGCTTTTCAATGCTAATCAAAGTGGCCAATTGCAACATTCACACAGACAAGAGTTCTTTCTCCCACCCTGAACATTCCACAGATATATGAACCTCACTTGCCTAGTTTCCAACAGACCTCACAACCTCTGAAGATGCCTGCCATAGATGTGGGCAAAACGTCAGGAGAGAATGCTTCTGGAACATGGCCATACAGCCCAGAAAACTCACAGCAACTCAAAAGCTCAGTAATTATAAATGCATCAGGGAATAGTAGGATTATGGTTTGTCACTCCTCTGAGCAAATTGAGTCTAAAGGCAGAGAAGTTTCCGGCCTTGAAGCTTGATACATTTCTTCTTAAATTAATAAAACAAAGCGTCTCTTGAAAATATTTCAGAATGGGGCATAAATTGGGGACTACAACCCTAGTCATTAAGATAAAATCTCAACCAATGTCTATCAGTTAATAGGATTACGCTGAGATAAACAAAATTCTTTGTTGAGTTTTGGAACCAGTGAAGATCAGGAGAGACTGATTTAATCACAAGTTTTAGTTTTGGAAAGAGGCAAATATATTCTTTCTTTCATGTTTTGTAGTTGTACCCCACATTACGGATGCAATTCAAGAATGGGTGTTGAGACAGGCACGAATACCTGTAGATGAAGATGGTATAGAGCCTCAAGTTTGTGTGATTGAGGTTGGTATCCATTCTTCTGTATATACTGCAGTGATTAAGAACTAAGTATTAGTTTAGGAAATATTGTGTATCAGTGCAATACTGTATTCAGAGGTCTGACAGGGGTGTGTTTCTCTATGACAGTAGCCACTTTGGATATACTGTTCATTTGTTGAAGTATTTTACAAATTATAGTAGCATTGTCCACCCAGGCTTATTCTGCAGCTTGTTCTCCGTGAAGATGATATTTATTTATGATCCTGGAGTATGTAAAGGAAATGGGAAATGGGTTGGTAGAGGTAGAAGGGTGAAAGTGTCAGTAATCTAATTTCTCTGTATTGATATTATTTGATTGACTGAAAGAACAGAAAATAATATTCTTTGGGTCCAGGCTGACTTAGACAAATTAAAGTCTCATTTCAAATGAACACAGTTTAAATACAGGTTAGTCTGGATTGAGCCTTGTGATTTGTGCCATCCAGCATATTCTAAACTGAACCTTCTGACACATCTATATAGTGACTGGACTTGGCTGTAAAAAGGTACCATAATTAATTACAGATGTCTTTGTTTTAGCTTGGAGGAACAGTAGGAGACATTGAAAGCATGCCTTTCATTGAAGCATTCCGCCAATTTCAATTCAAAGTCAAGCGAGAAAATTTTTGCAATATTCATGTCAGTCTTGTACCACAGGTAAGGCTCTGGAAGAACATGTGCTGAATGGTTGTGCTTGTTGTATCCGACTAGTGCTTTTCATATAAGGCAGTGGTTCCCAACCTTTTTTTGACCAGGGACCACTTTGATCAGGGTTACGCATCAGTTTTTGGTCAATTTTAGATTTGGTTTGGTTATTTGGGATGATGATTCAGAAAATTGCATTGGATAGATCACATCAGCTCTAGTTTCTGATTCAGAACATATGCCGTCCAGTAGTCGCCATCTGCTCGCCCACAGAGAACCATATTTAATAAGCCTTGGCACTTATTAAAGAGGGTTTCGCGAGACCAATTGCTCTCGTTGCAATGGTGTAGTAACGGTGAGACCACAGACCGTATTTTAGTTCTTGCGGACCACTGGTGGTCCATGGACCACAGGTTGGGAACAACTTATATAAGGGTACATTAGAAGTATTTCTGAGCATTTGGATTTGAGTTACAAGAAAGATAAAGAAATTACTATTGTGAATTTTAAAGAGGAGATCTCTTTAAATAAACTTTTGTTGGAAATTCCCTTCTACAAGAAAGGAATAGTAATCATTATTGTGAATATAACAGACTTATGTTTCATTGAATACTGTTTGTTGTACCTTTTACAAGTTGTTGGAACAAGTATATGCTTGTGATTTCTTCATTATCATAATAGTGGATTATTGTTTTGCAATGGTAAATGTACTCAGTCAAAACAGTAAATGTGGAGGGGTGACTGTAGTTTTGAAGGCCCTTGTTCTGACACTGTCTTCTCACACTTATGCTTGTTGACTAGCCAAGTTCTACAGGAGAACAGAAGACTAAGCCCACACAGAACAGTGTTCGCGAACTTCGGGGCCTTGGTCTTTCACCAGATCTTGTAAGTTTATATATGATGAAATTTCACTCTGGATTTTACAGAACCTTTAGCTCAACAAAGGTTTTAGCGTGGAAAGACATGTAACTGTAACTGTGTCCTATCACAACTAGCTATTTGCTGAAGCTGAAATGTATCCGTTCCTAAATAACTTGAATAAATAATAAAATGAATTTAAAGCTTAGATTTAAACTTGCTGTGGTATGGTCTTGACACTTTTGCTATCACTGATTTTTTACTAGATTGTCTGCAGATGTTCCACACCTCTTGATACCTCAGTTAAAGAGAAGATTTCCATGTTTTGTCATGTAGAACCAGAACAGGTAAAAATTGACTCTTTTTTTTTTTTTTAGCATTAAGCATATTTACTTCAATATTTTGTTCTAGAGCTAATCTAGGTGAGCAGGATCCAAAACTTAAGGAACCAACAAGGGTACATCTCTAACTTGATGAAGGACAATGTTATTGGGGATTTAAATCCTGTTATTAGTCTCAACTACAGCACAATTACTGACTCGCTGTTTTTTTAACCATATAGTAGACGGTCAGTTAACTGGCACCCATGGGAATTTATATCCATAAACGCCAATTTAATCTGTACACAGTAATGACAGTTGTCAAATGACAGTTTAAACACAACAGCTAGCTTGTAATGCAAGGTGGAAATAAAAAGGTTTTACTGGCTACTGACAACTAAAATAGAGAAATGTATATATCACATGCATGACTGGAAGAAAAAATAGCAAAGCAGTATTGACTTATTGGTTCCTATTAAAGGGAATACTTGTCATGATGCCAGGGCTCTGTCGTTATTTCCGGCAGAGGTGAATCAAACCAACACCCAGTTAGTGTTAAAACAATTTGATTAAAACAGCACTTACTGTCTGGCTGTTTCAATAGTCCAAAATATAAAACAAAGATGGTACTCAGCCACAAACTAAACAAAAACTGTTAGCAAAAGCTACACCGTAGTCAAAGGGTCCAGTCCAGTGATCAAATGCCAAGAGTTTCAATAAACAAAGTCCAGGGATCAAGAGTCTATACTGTAGTCCAAAGCCAGTCCAGAGATTCAAAGTTCCAGGGTTCTAAGAGTTCAGGAGACAGATCAGATACCGAAAATCCAGAGACCTGGGGGAAAACCAGTAGCATCCACCACCAAAATATAACAAATACTTTTCTCCCGGAGATCATTTCCAAGGCTCACTCCTTATATCCAAAAACACCCAGCTGCAACCCATCTCTTGCATACCTCCACCCTTAATTGCTTTCACCCATGAACTCTTACTTACAGATTACTAAACCCTTTTGAACTAATACTTATATTAACCCTTCCATCACCAAGCACCATCAACTGCAGAACATATGACAATAATTGAATATTGTTAGCTGCCCCTTGACAGTGAGGTGGGTTTGGAAAGGAAGTGTTTGTGGCTGCTTGAGGCAAATTCACCATGATGTGTGGTTACATATGAAATATGGGAATGGGGAAACACTGTGCAAATTCAGATTCGTTCCCGCATTGTAGACAAAGGAACCTTTGTAGTAGCTTTTCTGCACATGTCATTTTGGGGAATAGCTAAGAAATAAAAACATTGACATCTCTGATTCTAGCTATTACTTGCTGTATGCTAGTAGCTGATTTACTTATTTTAAATGAAAACAGCATGGTGAAAGCAGCCCAGTCTTTGGAGATGACATTTTTTAAATAGTGAAGCAGAATACTGTGTGCTCGGATAGGAATGGCAAAAATGTTAGATCAGAGCATTTTATACTGTATGTACCATAGTTATGTAACAGAAGCTTGCATTTGCACTCGGCAATAATAGATGTTTTAATTATCTGCATACTGTTATGTATATCTTAAACGTGACAGAACGTGCTTGTTCTTTTCTGATTTTATTCTTTCTTGAACAGGTCATTTGTGTTCATGATGTCTCTTCCATCTACCGAGTGCCTCTGTTGCTAGAGGAACAAGGAGTGGTGGATTACTTTCGTCACAGGCTCAACCTTCCCATTGAAAAGCAGCCTAGAAGAATGCTGATGAAGTGGAAGGAGATGTCGGACAGGTGGGGGTCCTTGTAGAAATCACTCTCTATTCTTGCTCTGTTAGCCGACGGGCGATTGTGAGGAGGTCCTCCTAAACGCCATCTTGTATTGACAAGAATACATTTTTTTCTAGCCATTCACCTATTGAAGAGAAATATTTTTATGGCTAAATTAGGACTTGGCAGGATTTTGTACAGCCTTGCTTCTATGTTAAACTACACATGAATCCTTTCTTCCAGTTTATGAACCTATTTGACTCTTCTTTCTAGAGGAAAGATGGAACTGCCCAGTAACACACGATTCATTGGAAAAGACAATAATGCTTGGTTAGATAGAAAACAATAGAAAAGAGATGGATACCAGATGGGTAGCACTCAATGATGACAGTTTTAAAAAGTTCGAACACGTCTTTACTGCATTAAGCCTGTACATGTCTATACAGAAAGATGACTCGCTGAGCTCATTCAAATTTAGGGGATTGTATGAAGGCATTTTAAAAATTACTTTGAAAAACTAAGGAAGCCCTGACACCTCACAGATGTTCCTCCATTGTGACAATGTATTAAAAATGGATCACCTCTCACTCTCAACTGCCCTCAGTGGGGATGCAATTAGTATATGATTTTGGGAATTTAAAGTTATATTTTCTGAATATATATACCAGACCTATTCAATCAAAATGAATGGTATTTCATATTCCTGAACTGTAAACATATATCTTATATTGTGTTTGTGTGTTAATACAGATATGACCGTTTATTGGAGACCTGCTCTATTGCTCTTGTTGGCAAATACACCAAGTTTTCAGACTCTTATGCCTCTGTTATCAAAGCTTTGGAACATTCTTCTCTAGCTATCAATCACAAGCTTGAGATAAAGGTATGCTTTTCCACTTTCTGCCTTTGTTGGACTTATATTTAAAACTAAAAACAGCAATAAATAGGATATACATTTCTATTTTTTAAATGTCTTAAATATCATAATACAACTAAAAGTAAAGGCTTTCCCTTGGCATTAATTCTAGTCGTGTCCAACTTTGGGGGTTGGTGCTCATCTCCATTTCTAAGCCAAAGAGCCGGCATTGTCCATAGATATCTCCAAGGTCATGTGTCCAGCATGACTGCATGGAGTGCTGTTACCTTCCCACTGAAGCGGTACCTATTGATCTCAAATTTGCATGTTTTGGAACTGCTAGGTTGGCAGAAGTTGGGCCTAACAGTGGGAGCTCATTCCACTCCCTGGATTCAAACCACCTAGCAACAAAATTTATATTTTATTATATTCAGCAAAATACAGATTACATTTCTTTCTTCTTTTTGTTATATTAATAGCAAAAGGAAGAACTAACATTATCTCTTTTATTGGTAGAGTTACAACATGAATAAAGGAAGGAAATGCTGTGTCTGTAGTTGTATTTGATTTTATTAAGGCAAGGTCTCCCATGATATTTTTGCAACAAACTAGTAAAATATGATTGTGTTGTCAAAGGCTTTCATGGCCGAAATCACTGGGTTTCTGTGAGTTTTCCGGACTGTATGGCCATGTTCCAGAAGCAAAATGTGAGTTAGATAGTGCTACTGTTAAGTGGATTTTTAATCGGTTGACCAGCTGAATCCAAGACTGCTTCATTCTGGAGAGAAATGGCCTGTGGACTGTCACAAGGTTCTGTCCTGGACCCAGAGCTATTCCACAACCTTTTCAGAGACTTTTATAATAGAATAGAGGGCATAATCATCAAATTTACAGAGGACACCAATTTAGAAATAACGAATACCTCAGAGAACAGTATCAGGATTCAACGTGACCTTAATAGATTGGATAGCTGGGCCACAACTAATAAAATGAAGAGGAAGAAATGTAACATACTACACATAATACTACAGACTAGGTGGGCATCTCTCAAGAGTGCTTTGATTGTGTATTTCTACATGGCAGTTCGAACTGGATGACCCTTGGGTTCTCTTTCAACTCTATGATACTGCAGAACAGTGGTTCCCAACCTTTTTTGACCAGGGACCACTCTCCAACATTAGTACCAAAAGGGTTACAAATCCGTTTTGGTCAACTTTAGATTCGGTTTAGTTATTTGGGGTGCTGATTCAGAAAATTGCATTAGAAAGACCACATCAGCTCAAGTTTCTGATACAAAACGTATGCCATCCAGTAGTTGCCATCTTCTTGCCCACAGAAAACCATATTTAATAATCTAGAGCTGATGTGGTAGTCGTAATCTTTTGTGGGGAGTCAGCCTCACCCCTCCTGACATCCCTGTGGTTTTGAGGCAACGGTGTAGTAATGGTGAGGCCGTGGACCATATTTTCATTCTTGTGGAGCGCTGGTTGGGAACCACTGCTGTAGAAGTTTCCAGTTTTGGAAAACACTGGGAAATAATAACTGGAAATCTCTCAGACACTAGCCTGGTCCATATCTTGGTTAGCCTTGATTCTGCAGGGTCGGGGACTTACTAGGTAGAATTGTATACTAGTACATAGTGTCCAATTATTCCTTGTTGCAGTGAGTAATATAAATGGCTAAAGAAGCTATGGATTTTTGATCCATGATTTAATATGAGTAATTTAACATGAGGGGCTTGCTACTCCATTGTATATCATGAGACTTGAGCATCCATGGATTTTGGATTCATGGGTGTTCTGGAGCCAAGCCTCAGCAGATACCAAGGGTTAATATCCTAGCCATTGTTTGTCAATTAAAGTAATTGTTTGTCGGTATGAAGTCAATTATGATAGAGTTTTATGATAGTTGAGGAATTAAAATGTAAAAGGTGGCACTTTTGACTCATTCTTGATTGTGTTTTTAAAAATTGACTTCTCTCTAGTACATTGATTCTGCTGACTTGGAACCAATTACTCTACAAGAAGAGCCGGTTCGATACCACGAGGCTTGGCAGAAACTCTGCAGTTCTGAGTAAGGAATTCATAACTTTGCTTTCCTTTATAGGAGAAAGTGTCTTCTGGTTTCTTGTAGACATGCTTACTGTTCCCCGTTTGTAGCCTGATCAAGGTTGTAGCAGCGGCCGTACATTTTCATCCTAGCAATCAAGACATTGTATACCCCACATTATTCCTCAGAGGCCAGAAGAAATGTGAAAGAAAAAGCAACAATTTGGAAGCCGCTCTGAGTCCCCTTCAGGGTGAGAGATAGTGAGAGATAGTGAGGTAAAACTATAGTAAGTAAATAAATAAATATGATTAACATGTGATAGCTTTTATATGGCTGTTACTATGATAGAATCATAGAGTTGGAAGAGACCACAAGGGCCATCCAGTCCAACCCCTGTCATGCAAAATATACACAGTTAAAGCACTTCTGACAGATGACTTAGTAGAACCTCCATGTTTCAAGGCCATACACCACTGGATAGCAGTCGGCAATTATCATATGGTTCTGTTACCAAACAAATTTGCATAATTCATCTTTAGAATGTATGCTTGACTGATGTTTGTGGTAGCAGTATTATTCCTGGATATAGGACTTATTCTAAAGGCCATCTTTGAGAGATAAAAAACTTTCCCACCATGGCAACTCTTATGAAGGCAGTTGCATTTTATAGATTTTTTTTCTTCATCTGGGAGACTGGGAAAGTCTCAAATGTGAAATGAGTTGTATGTATATGCACACCCTGCATGCTTCTTATTGCTTCTGGGAATAGATGATGTAACAATGCAATTGTATTATTGTATTAAATGTTTTGTATATTGTTCTGTAGCAATCTAGTGCTGTCCTCTGGGAAGCATAGTGAAGTGCATTCAAAGTTGGGCATTCAAAGAATCAATGTTTAATGTTATATTGAGAGATTGCATTTTCGACGGTTCAAATATGTGCCACGTGGAAAGTGAAATGAACTTTAGCAGCTAAAGGAATTCACGGGATTAATGCAATGGCTAAATGTTTAATGTTTTATGGCTCTGTTTGACAGTTTATATAGTTTTTAGTGGTTTTAATTTATAATTATATGTTACTGTATTAGTTGTAATGTATTGTTTTATGTGATTGTGAGGCATTGAATCTTTGCCACTTCTTACTTGGAATCAGCTTTAAGACCCCCTAGGGCAGTGGTTCTCAACCTGGGGTCCCCAGCCAGTTTACCAGCTGTTAGGATTTCTGAGAGTTGAAGGCCAAAAACATCTGGGGACCCCAGGTTGAGAACCACTGCCCTAGGGGTTAAGAAAAGTGGTATAGAAATACAATAATAAATACAGTAGAGTCTCGCTTATCCGACATAAACGGGCCGGCAGAATGTCAGATAAACAAAAATGTCAGATAATACGGAGTCTCTTGTTACCTGTCCGACGCAGCGCTAGACACCTAAAATACTAACAACAGGGACTCCTAGAGCAGCCCAGCAGGAAGTGCCCAGATGCAAAAGGGAAGTGGAGCGTGGAAATCACAGGGGGAAAGAGGGAGGATGTTTCCACTTCCGGTCCTGCCTCTTTTCCCCCTTTCCTCCCTCCTCCTCCTCCTTGTCTTGCCTTTTTCACTTATTGGGAATGGAAAGAAAGTTGGGGAACGCTCCTTTAATTGAAGGGGAAATGCTGGAGGAAAAGGGGGTGTCGGATAAGACGGAATGTCAGATAGCAAAGGTTGGATAAGCGAGACTCACTGTAAATTAACATTAAAATGCCACTAAATTTTTTTCTCCTTTTTTTTTGTATAGTGGAGTTCTAGTTCCAGGTGGCTTTGGTGTTCGAGGGACAGAAGGGAAGATACAAGCTATTTCTTGGGCAAGAAAACAGAAAAAGCCTTTTCTAGGTAAGAGAGTATACTCTATTACTACTCTGTATTTTGAACAAATGAGAGTATAGTCTTGGCACATGCACCAGATGGCTGCCTCAACAATAAGACTAATGCTAACACCTGAATATCAGGTACATAAGGAGACCTGTGGCTGGCTGATCTGCAGACTTAATGTTACATGTTTGTTTTCATATGTATGATTTCAATTTGATATTTTTTCCCTTTTGGGTAACACTGAACAATATTTTTTGCTCTTCATAATGTCAGTCTTTCTGAAAATTTAGAGGAAGAGCTGAACATTTTCTTTGCCCATCACCATTGTGCCACTTTTTTTCCTTTTTGACATGGTTGCAGAACTGCTGATATGAAGCAGCACATTGCCATCTTGATGTATATTTTCTGCTCTGTTTCTACAGGAGTCTGTTTGGGAATGCAGTTAGCAGTTGTGGAGTTTGCTCGCAATATCCTCAAATGGCAAGGTAAAAATGACAAGACAATTACAAGGGAGAGCATTTAAAATTACTAGCAACTTCTGTTTCCTATGAATTTACATAAACTATGATTTGTTGCCTTCATTTTTCTCCACTCTTTGAAATTGCACCACACCTCAGAGTTGGACACAACTAGACTTAATATCAAGGCGAAATGTTTATATTTTAATAGGTGGCATAATCTATGCATTATTTTAAAAGTTCTTATAGTATGCTTTATCTTAGTAATCCTGTCAGCAACACTGAGTCCATATTATATCCACATTTTGAGACAATGGTTAGCCTAAATCTGCATGATAGGATCATGATAGGCTACAGGTTACAAGTCATAGTTTAATCTCCTAATTGCTTCATCGCTGCACTTCACAATGTATATTTTGCACACTTTGTTTTTTCCTTCTTGCATCCTGCTTTTAACTCTTGGATTTTGCAGTTTGTATAGATTGTTAGATGTTTCTGTTGGTGTAAATGCATATGACCATTGGTCGGAATATTAATAAATTAATAAATTAAATTGATAATTGTTTCATCAATTACACGTTTCTATAAATAAAACTCAAAACAAAAGGTAAACCTTAGGCAAAAGAGTAAAAAATAATAATGTAACAAATAATAAAAAATACATATTGGTATGCTTGTAGCTCTGAATTTCTCATATGGAGTATGAGATTACTAAAAAATATGTCTATACGAATTAAGGAAAATTACTAGAAAACGATATGGAGGTGGTATCTAACGCCCATTAGATTGACAAAAAATACTCAAATCAGTGCTGGAGAGGTTGTCAGGAAATAGGGACGTACCTTCATATGTGGTGGTCATGTAATATACAAAAATTTTGGGAAAGCATATTCAAAGAAATAAGAGCAATAATAAAAATAGAGATTGAGATTACACCAAAATTGGCACTATTACTTATACATGATAATATAATTCCCTTACAAGAGGAGAAAGAATTGGTTTATAATTTGATAACAGCTGCTAAATTGTTAATAGCAAAAAACTGGAAAGAAAAAAATTCAATTAGAAGAATGGTATAGGGAAATTTGGAATATAGTGATTAATGATAAGCTAACTTGCAATATTAAAATTAAAAGGGGAATAGGTAAACAAACAGACTTTTGGAAAATATGGGGAACAACATGAGTTGGTTGGTCCTGGTGAAGAGGGCACAAACTAAGGGTAAGGGGAAGAGGGGGAAAACGGTATAATAATAATTATAAAGAAATACAATACGTATAAGTGGATAAAAGGTGTGTGATAGAGTTATATGTAGCATAAGTTGTAATGGAAATTTAAAAATAATGATAAATATGATTAAAGATGTTTTTGATGTTTATTTACTGTTAGATTGTATATAATATGACATACTCTTTTGTCTAAGATACTGCAAAAAGAGAGAAGAATGTATGCTTATACATTTTGTTGGACAAATTTATAAATAAAATCTTTTTTTAAAAAAAAGCTCTGAATTTGGCAGTATTGCTGATTCTGTTCTGAGAATAGCTATACTGAGTCTAATAGTACTGTATGCAATTAAGGGGGAAATGTCTCATGTTGTGGAATGTAGAAATCTGGATACTTTTCATAACTGCATTGCAAGGCACAGCCAATCATATTCTGTTATCCACAGATGCCAATTCTACAGAATTTGACCCCAAAACGGCGCATCCTGTGGTAAGTGTTTTGTGTCTTTTTGTGATTTTACTTCATACAAACTAAGAACATTCAGGAATTATTCAGCTGTATTTGAGAGGAATTGTGATGAAAATGGAATTTGACATGGCCATAAACTCCTGGATACTCTTTCTTGTATTGTGCAATACACCCGCAAATTGAGTATGTGAAGGAGCAATGAAGCATGACTATAGTGATTATCTTTCTATTTCATAATAATGCTGAAAACCAATATGTAGTGGATGAAGTCCTTCCTCAGTCCAGCCCACAAGAATGGAAGGGAGCAAGACCTCTGTCCTTTGACATCTGCACATGTTGCATAATAATCAGTTATGGCCTACCCATGCAAAATATAATGCATATAGATGCAGATTGTAGGCTGATTTGTAGCTGACCTTTTCTGTTTTTATGTTAGTCGGCATAAATATTGGTTGCATTTTGCTGTGTTTATCTCCTACCATCTGAAATCTGCTCTTCATAAAATCCTAATAAGTTATGTTTGTGATTAAAGTCAAACTACACATTACTCCTGATAAAAATGTACTGAAATTCATTTGGTTTTCACTTCAAAGGAATTAAGATTGGTGTTGACAGGTGCTTTGCTGGATTGCTTATACCAGAAGTTACAATATATGTTTTCTCTGAACAGAGGAGTAGTAGTGTTTTGTTTCTTAATTCCTTTGTGGTCACAGTGCATTCTTTGAACTGTATCCCTCAGGTAATAGACATGCCGGAACATAATCCTGGTCAAATGGGTGGAACAATGCGGCTTGGCAAGAGAAGAACCGTCTTCCAAACGGATAACTCAGTCATGAGTATGGATTTTTGTATCTCTGTCTGTCTGTTTGTTTGCCTGTCTGTCCCTCCCTCATGTCTAGGTGTGGAGGCCTTTTTATCCCATCTCCAAAGAGTTATCTAATGTAATCAGGGGTAGATATGGGCCAGGCAAAGAAAGCATGTAATTATCGTATATACTTGACTATAAGCTGACCTGAATATAAGTCGAGGACCTAATTTTACCACAGTAAACTGGGAAAACTTATTGACTCAAGTATTAGCTGAGGGTGGGAAATGCAGAAGGTACTGGTCCATTTCAAAATAAAAATAGATGCTAATAAAATTACATTAATTGAGGTATCCATAGGTTAAATGTTTTTGAATATTTGCATAAAACCGTAATTTAAGATAAGACTGTCCAACTCTAATTTATTATTCTAACCTTCAATGTAAATGTGCTTATATATCCTTCCAATAATAATAGAGTAAAATAATAAATGTAATAATAACAGTAATAATAGAGTAAAATAATAAATGTAATAATAATAATGGAGTAAAATAATAAATGTAATAACATAATAATAAAAAATAATAAATGTAATAATAATAAATAGTAAAATAATAAATGTAATAATAATAGAGTAAAATAATGTCAATATAATAATATAAATAGAATAAAATAATAAATGTAGTAATAATAATAGTAACAGAGTAAAATAATAAATAACCTTGACTCGCGTATAAGCCGAGGGAGGCTTTTCAGCCTTAAAAAAGGGCTGAATAACTCAGCTTATACTCGAATATACAGTAAACTATGGAATTCCATTCTCTGTCATTATCATTCATGGCCATGAGCTTTGTTGGATTTAACAGGCCAGAAAAAAGAAAGCTATCCCCACCACTGCACCCAATTCTAAGATATTGCAGTGGCTCTTCTAAAGTTTACTTACTGGCAGTGATGTAGTGCTTGTTGGATGCATATGTTCATTGACTGCATTCCGATATTTGCAACACCCCTGAACAAGAACATACCCATTTATTTTGCCAAGACTTTTGTAAACTGAAATGTTTCGCCATGAATGTTACTCCCATTCACAAGAGTATGCTAGGTTTGGTTTCTAATGTTAAATCTGAGTGTATGATAGATCTTACTCTATTGGATTATATGTAAGACTTCTCTTACTGTTTCAGAGGTACACAGCAAGTATTAGAATTTGATTTAAAGGAAATAAGTGTTGAAGGCTTTCATGGCTGGAATTACTGGGTTGATACAAGTTTTCCGTGCTGTATGGCTGTGTTACAGAAAGAAATAGACCACTTCAGGGTTTTAATCCACCCCATTCTGGTATTAATGTGGTAACCAATTTCTGATAAGTAAATCCTTATGTTTTCTTTCTCGATAGGAAAACTGTATGGAGATATTGACCATATAGAAGAGAGGCACAGGCACAGATTTGAGGTATGTCAAACAAACGTGAGCTTGATCAATTTTTCATTGCATTCTCTGAGAAGTTATGCAATGCTGTTTTTATTATGTAGGTAAATCCAGAATTGAAAAATGCTTTAGAAGAAAAAGGTATGAAGTTCGTTGGTCAGGATGTTGAAGGAGAACGGATGGAAATAGTTGAGCTGGAAGGTGAGCCCTTGGGTTGGTATTTGGTACCATTATCAAAGAAAAAAATGCGTAGGCATCTGTTACATTTAAGAATCTTCATTCCAATTTTGGGAAAGAAAATAAGTACCTTTTGAGGCATTGGAGAAGATAACAATAGAATTCTGAAAAAGGACCCAATATGAGACTGTGAATTTAAAATTGTTGTTTCATGTATTATTCGTGCCATAACAGAAAGATAGAATGATAGAATCATTGAATTGGAAGAGACCCCGTGGGCCATCCAGTCCAACCCCCTGCCAAGAAGCTGGAAAATCGCACACAAAGTACCTCTGACAGATGGCCATTCAGCCTCTGCTTGAAGGCCCATAAAGAAGGACGCCCACCACATTTGGGGGCAGAGAGTTCCACTGCTGAACAGCTCTCACAGTTAGGAAGTTTTTCCTAATGTTCAGTTGGAATCTCCTTTCCTGTAGTTTGAAACAATTGCTCTGTGCCCTAGTCTGGCAGCAGAAAACAGGTCTGCTCCCTCCTCCCTATGACTTCCCCTCACATATTTATAGATGGCTCTCATCTCCTCTCAGTCTTCTCTTCTTCAGACTAAACATGCCCAGCTCTTTAAGCTGCTCCTCATAGGGCTTGTTCTCCAGACCCTTCATCATTTTAGTCACCCTCCTCTGGACACATTCCAGCTTGTCAACATCTCCCTTCAATTGCAGTGCCTAGAATTAGACACAGTCTGATTCCAGGTGTGGTCTGACCAAGGCAGAATAGAGGGGTAGCGTGACTTCCCTGGATGTAGACCAGTGGTTCGCAACTTTTGGGTTCCCAGGTATTTTGGCCTTCAACTCCCAGAAATCCTAACAGCTGGTAAACTGGCTGGGATTTCTGGGAGTTGTAGGTCAAAACACCTGGGAACCCACAGGTTGAGAACCACTGATGTGTTTATTCATTTATTTGCGACATTTATATGCCTCCCTTCTCACCCTGAAGGGGACTCAGAGCGGCTTACAAGTAAAAAGTAAATACAATATATTATTATTATTATTATTATCATAGCACAATATTAATATTATATATTACATTGTACTATAACATTATACTGTAATATTAGTAATATTACATTTAATATAAAATATATAATTATAATATCATTTTATTATTATTAGCAGTAGTATATTGTATTTCATTATAATATCAATATTATATGTATATACAATATATTATATTACATTATAAGCACAGTGCAGGAGACAAGATGTAGGCACAATAATAATAATAATAATAATAATAATAATCAGAATGGCTTTAGAAAGGATTTATTTTGTATTTGTTTATCTTTGGCCAAATGAGGTTGTTTCAGATACTAACCTAATCAAGGATATATACTTTTCTCTTCTAGATCATCCATTTTTTGTTGGTGTTCAGTATCATCCAGAGTTTCTGTCCAGGCCTATAAAGCCATCTCCCCCTTACTTTGGTTTCCTCCTGGCTTCTGCAGGGAGGCTCGCACATTATCTACAGAAAGGTTGCAGACTCTCTCCTAGGTATGTTCAGTTGAGTTTTACTTTGAGCTTTTGCAGTGCGTTCTATGTGGAGTGTGCAAACTGAAAATGATACTTTATTTTTGTTGCGTGCAAAAACTTTCAGCCTGTATAATATTTTTTCCCCAGCACAGAAAGGACCTTTCCAGACAGGCCCTATGTCTCAGAATCTGATCTCAGGTTTTCTCTTTACCCCAGATTATCTGGCAGTGGGGATTCATATAATCCAGTTTAAAGCAGAAAAGCTGGAATCAAATCCTAGGGTATAGGGTCTGTCTGGAAGGAAGCCTTGTGGATCTGAATAAAAAGGTTTTAGTCTGCAGTTGGAAGGACAGCAGGGAGGGGGCATTTCGGCTTCCCCAAGCAAGGAGTTCCAGAGCCTGGAGGCAGTCAACGAGAAAGCCTTCTCTCGGGCCCCCATCAGCCATCCTTGTGGTGGTAGTGGTACAGAGAGAAGACCCTCTCCTGAATATCTCAGGGCCTGGGCAGGTTTGTACAAGGAAATGCCCACAAATTTGAAGAAGATGTGCTCAGGACTTGTGCTTTTTATTCTGTGTGCTTGTGTTGCAGTGTATGGCTTTCCTTATTGCAGTGGTTCTCAACCTGTGGGTCCCAGATGTTTTGGCCTTCAACTCCCAGAAATCCTAACAAACTGGTAAACTAGCTGGGATTTCTGGGAGTTGTAGGCCAAAAGTCCTGGGGATCCACAGGTTGAGAATCACTGCCTTAAGGTATCTGGCTTTCTCCTGCATCTTACTACCAGAACAATGTTATGTTTCCCCTTTGCAAGCTACAAAGAACAAATGCTGGTAAGCATTATGTGTTGTCCCTGTAACACAGCATTTCTCAATCTGGGGGTTGGGGTCAGACATCCATACCAAATCCTCCAGACAGATCCTGACATAAGCCACAAATGGGACTGCAACCATCAGGATTCTCAAAAGCTAAAAGCAAGTATGACATTCTAGGGCTGAGGCTGGTATCTAAAAACTACTGTTTAAATTTCCTTAGTATTCAGGAATGACATTCTGGAGTATTTGGGGAAGTTTAAATGAACATTAAGATCAAATTGAAATTCTCCTTTAACTATTTGGCGGGTTAACCGAGAACCGTTTCCAGCTTGGAGTCAGCCCATGTAAACAAACCAGACTTGTATGGAAATGTTAATGCTTCCACTATATTGTTTCTCATAGTGGGTGTTTTGCATATAAAAGGGAATCCAGAGGTGACGCTGAAATGCAGAAATCTTTTCTTCATAGGGATACATACAGTGACAGAAGTGGAAGTAGTTCGCCAGACTCCGAGATGACAGAATTGAAATTTACTGCAGTAAATCATGAGTAATTGCAGGTAATGTTTTCCTTCATTTTTTTTAAAGATTTCCTCCTTTTGCATCTTCTTCAAGTGTAATGGTGGCACATAGTTCTTTGGATGTTTCTTGCTCTAGAAATTAATTTTCTCTTGCACCAAGCAGAGGATATCCTGTATCTGGATGTTCATCTCACTTGCTCCAACAGGCAGGCTCCTTGACCAGTTGGAGACTATTTATTTATTTATTTATTTATTTATTTACTTACAGTATTTATATTCCGCCCTTCTCACCCCGCAGGGGACTCAGGGCGGATTACAATGTACATATACATGGCAAACATTCAATGCCATAGACACACAACATATATAGACAGACACTCAGAGGCTATTTAACATTCCAGCTTCTGTCCACCAGGGGAGCTGTCGCTTCATTGTCCGTTTGTGACACTGATGAAGTACTTCCTCATTCTTTGCATACTTCCCTGAGATTTTTATGACCTCGTAAATCAGTTAAATTAGCCTTTCCACAGAAGTGGTACCTAAATTTCCTACTTGACAGATGCAACTGTCAAGACTGAACTCTTCCTCTCTTGTGGGAGGACAATCCTATGATATCCCCCAGTCTACTGCTTGCCTCCATTCCTCATAGATGCTGAACCAAGCTCTCTTTCTCACTCACTCCAAGACTGTTGATTTATTGAGATAAATTACCTCTCTCTCTTATCTCAATCCTTCTTGACCCTCTGGCATCCACATGGAGAGCACAAGGAAAATAAATTCACCGTGCAACTTTAAATCAACTCTAAAGACTGGAGTGGCTTACTTTATTGTAAATCTAGACTACAAACTATTTACAGGAGCAAAATAAAACACATCAGTTTGCTAGCTGTAAATCGCTGGAAGCTGAGAGCACATGGTAATCTGATCTTGTTGAATGTAAACAAATGTAGTTATCAGAACACTTCAAAGTTACGCTGTAGGAATCAAGCACAGCTCTGTGCATTTACTCTTACACTGGATTGCATTGCTATACCACACACAGAGTTTAAACTACAAACAATATTTTATTACATTTAAACCAAAGTTCTAACAAAGACCACATTTTTTTCCTTTAACTTCTCCCTGGAAAAATACGTTCTCTGCTTCCAGCTTCATGCTTGGAGTTTGAGCTGAACAGATACAGAAAGGCAGGATATTCTACCAATTATAAATACAATGTTATCATCTCACAGGGCCTCCACCAACAGGATCTGTGTATTCACATGAAGGGTCTTCAGCGCATGGTGCAGAAACGCACTAACTGGCTCTTGGTGATCTCTGATGAAGAAAAATTGGTTATCTGTACCTTCATAGTGCACCATTCGGATGAAATATTAATTGAACTGTTTGGAACTGTTCTCTTTTCTTCGTAACTTATTTTTGGGTTGCTTTTCTAGTTCTCAAATTTCTAGCTTTGTGTTTATAATTCTTTTGGTTACTCCTTCAGTTTTGTCTATACTCTGAACACTTGTCTTACTCGGCTTGGTTCTCCACTATGTTTTTGGCCTAACAATTTGTACTACCCTACAATGGTCACTTCAGATATGCGCTTCCTGAAATGCTAAGATTCCTGAAAGATACGGGCAGCCCAATTGTGTTTGGTGTCTTGCCGAGGTGATGTCCATTTGCAAGGCTTTTAACCTCTCAAACATGCAAAAAAAAAAGAAAAGATTCTAGGTTAAAGGTTCTCTTTTTTTTTTAAGCAGGTTCTTTGATCTATGATTTCTCCCTTAAGATCCATTCTGCCTCATTCAGTTTCAGTATCAATTGCCTCTGGATCTTTAAGATTAAAAATGAAACAGTCCCTGCCGAGCAGATATCATGTTGCTTCCCAGAACTACATAACACCCTTAATTCCTATCTACTAGTTCAAGGAAATGATACATAACATAATTCTGGTACACAATAGTCCCATGTAATAGTTTCCTTTTTGTGGCAGGTCCTCTACGAGGATCCTGACACCACTTAAATATCTCTTAGGGAATTCTGCGTTAGTGCAGATGCCAGAGGAATTTATTCTGAGCTTTTTTTGTGTCCTGTTTATGTGTATCAGTGACAGAAAAAAAAACCTATGTGCATATCTCAATCATACATACTATATGCCAAAAGAGAGAACCAATGTGGTGATGTGGACAGAGTGTTAGATTAAAACTGGGAGACCTGAGCCCCTTCCACACAGCTGAATAAAATCCTACATTATCCGCTTTGAGCTGGGTTAAATGCCAGTGTGGACTCAGTTAACCCAGTTCAAAGCAGATATTGTGGGATTTTCTGCCTTGATATTCTGGGTTGTATGGTTGTGCGGAAGGGCCATTGGATTCCAAGTGCAATTGAGCCACAAATCACAAAGGCTGAGCTTGGACCAGAGAATCACTCTTAGCATCTCCCAGAGTTTTCTCCCTGGTGACACAATGGGTTAAACTGCTGAGCTGCTGAACTTGCTGACCAGAAGGTTGGCGGTTCAAATCCTGAGAGCAGGGTGAGCTCCCGTTGTTAGGCCCAGCTTCTGCCAACCTAGCAGTTTGAAAACATTCAAGTGTGAGTAGATCAATAAGTACTGCTTCTTCGGGAAAGTAATGGTGCTCCATGCTGGCCACATGACCTTGGAGGTGTCTATGGACAATGCCAGCTCTTCAGCTTAGAAATGGAGATGAGCACCACCCTGAGTCAGACATGACTAGACTTAATGTCAGGGGAAACTTTTACCTTTTTTAGAGTTTTGTTAAAATTTAAAGTGATTGAGAAGAGACAATAGCTTGCGATGCCACAGTTGTCAAATAATCTCTTTTGTGTCTCCTCTTCCAGATACACCTCATGAGTAGAAGATCCTTTTTTGGATGCAATGGCTAAACACCTGGAATCTTATACCATTATAATTTTATTTTTAGAAATCATGTCACCCCTTTTTGCCCCTCTTTTACATTTATTTTTAGTACTTTACTTTGAGAAGGTGACACCAGTGCATACTTATGTGCTGTTATAAGCTTACAAAGAATAATGGCAGAAGACAGATTCTGGATTTCTGGTGAAATTTAGTATGTTATTATGAATAGTCATAAATGTTGCCAAGTAGAATATCTAGATTCAGGTTTTCTGTGAACTTCCATTGTAGGAAGTTATATATTGTTTTCACTCTTAAAGGGTTGTAGAGTGGAAGATTCTCAGGGCTGTAAAACTTAATCCTTTTTAAAGTAATGGATTTGTTTCTACATGGCCACTGTTGAAGACCTTTTCTGGGAATATCATTTTTCTGCTCTTAAAACTATAATATTTAGTTTATTTCCCTCCTAGGAAGAGTGAATGTGTTGCAATAATGGAATTCAAATGTGAGTGTATAAATTTTCAGTATTTTAGATGCACAGGCGAAGGGTGTATTTTTCTTTACTCCTGTTTCCTGGACTCATATAATTCCTTGTATCAAGGGGGGGGGGGGGCGCTGTACAAGAAAACAACTTTTCATAAGCTGCCTTTTGGGATTCTCAATGAGATGGCTGCCTTGCATTTAAAAGTCTAAAGTCCTTCTGTTTGTAAGGGAGGCCCACCTCACTCTGTCACCCCATTGTTGAGAAAACGTCACCGTGTTGGCATACAAGATGCCATAGGGGGAATTCAGTAATATATTTACTGCAGCCTGCAAGTGAGTAAAAGGATGGCAGAGGACTTTTACAAACATGAGAACTACATGAAATAAGAATTTACGCTCTTTTTGCCAATGTAGCTTATACACTGTGTATCAAGTAAATAAGAATGTTCTTATAAAACATGCCCTGTGTACAAACAGTTTTCAGTTCATTAAAACTTGGGGAAAGTAATCTGTGTCCTGTGCCCTCACCTAACTTCCTTTTTATTCATATAGGTTTGAATATCCTTTTTTGGAAATCCAAAATGCACCAAAATCCAAAATTGTTTCCATGGGTGGCTTAGATAGTGACATTTTTGCATTCTGATGATTCAGTGTTTTAAATGAACTGTAGAGGACTGGATGCTGTCCTACTTTTCTTTTACTTCTGGGTTATTGCATTATTTATATAATTAACCATATAATAATAATAATAATCCTTTATGTATAGGCTGCCCTATCTCCCCACAGTAGTGTGACCTGTATATACAATAATATGCTTGAGTTCCAATGGTCATATTTCTATAAACTCTAGAGAGCAGGGGCATAATTATTTTATTAAGTTCAAGTATTTTGAGGCCACTTCCAAATCTCATAGGCAGCGGTAGTGGTCTGGCAGAATACAGTAGGCCCTTATTATCTGGTGGTTTGGTTCCAGGGCACAAATCTATGGATGCTCAGTGGCATATTAAAATGGTGTCCCTTATATAAATGGCAAAACCAAGGTTTGTTTGTTCAATTATTTAGATTTGGAGTATATTTTCAAACCATGGTGGAATTGGTGGATATGGAGAGCCAATTGTACTTATGAAAGGACAGCTGGTTAATGAAATGTTAATTTTTTCTTCAGCAAGACTAACATATGCCACAAAATAATAAACCTATTAGACCCAAGCTCTTTATTGGACTACTTTTGCTTTATACTGGTGAATATCGATATACCCAATGTCTAGTGATGATGTTTCTCTGTCACAGGAGGACACAACATGCAGATCTGGCATTTTGCTGTTTGTGCTGCTGCAGAGTTTCTTTCTCTTCCAGCAAGCTTTCTATTTTCATTTCCAACTTCTTGATCTCTTCTGTCCATTTCTAAAGAATATACAAAATTGTTGTCATTCCATTTCATGCAGTCAAGTTACCGTCTTTTTGCCTGAGATTTTGTCTGAACTTTTGTGTAAATATTTGTCTGTTGTGTCTGGCTGCTAACTGCATTACCACAATAACCAGTCCTCCATTACAGAGATTACTCAGTTAGTAGTCCCATCATCCAGCAAGTTGGTTGTTAAAGGTTTTGGAAATCCCATATACTTATGAAATCTGTAGTTCAAATTTACTACTAGGCCGCAGTAGTCATGGGCCCGCTATCTGTATCATCCGTTTAATTCTTGTTTCAGTTTCATTCCGTCCATTTGGATGGCATGATACGCAAGTCCCCCTCTAAGAACGAAACTAAACTCAATACGAAAGGCGGGTGGGAGCGGGTACTGTCTCCAGGCTTACTTTTCGGCATCATAGGTATAGAGAGAAGATGGATTGTGCTGAGATCTCTTTATCGGAGATCCTTGGTGCGGTGGAGGACAAACCCCAGCAACCGGCAAGCCATTAGGAATCTCTGATAAAGAGACTTCAGAAGCAGTGGTGCAAGGTAGGTTTTCCAATTGAAGTGGGAAACAGCAGCCTTAAAACTATGAGGAAGGGGAGCATTTGTATAGGATTGCCCACCCATTGCTGCCAATGGGACGAAAGTATGTTTTGTTTTGGTTTTGTTTTGTTTTGGGTTTTTTTGGATGTAGGACAAAAAAGCTCATTCAGAAAGGCACCGTTTTCATAAGCGGTACTCAAAAACGAAAACAGGGCCATATGAATTAAACAAACAGAAATAGTGATCCTATACAAATGCACAAGACTTGACCTTAGTTCCACAGTCACAGCCAGTGGAACAATTTTGACATTACATATTTCCAGGGTTTACAGGTATTTGTGTTGTGACTCTAGAGTACCAGGTTTTCTAAAAATTGGGATGAATGTGATAACTTGTGGTTAAATATTATTAATCAAATAATTTTAATTTCAAATAATTTTAGCAGTAAAAATAAAGCTCACGCCCACATTTCTGCTATATATCAGAGGCCTTAGCTATGTTATAAATAAACTGAAGATAACATTTGGTTCTCAGGACAGAAATGAAAACTGGAGAAAATTTTTAGAATTAGGTTCTTGTGGGTTTTTTCGGGCTATAGAGCCATGTTCTAGAGGCATTTCTCCTGACGTTTCGCTTGCATCTATGACAAGCATCCTCAGAGGTAGTGAGGATGCTTGCCATAGATGCAGGCGAAACGTCAGGAGAAATGCCTCTAGAACATGGCTCTATAGCCCGAAAAAACCCACAAGAACCTAATTCTAAAAATTTTCTCCAGTTTTCATTTCTGTCCTGAGAACCAAATGTTATCTTCAGTTTATTTATAACATAGCTAAGGCCTCTGATATATAGCAGAAATGTGGGCGTGAGCTTTATTTTTACTGCTAAAATTATTTGAAATTAAAATTATAGCCCGAAAAAACCCACAAGAACCTAGTGATTCCAGCCATGAAAGCCTTCGACAATGTTTAGAATTGTCTGTATAAGCTCGCTGTAAACCAAACTGCTATGAAACAGATGACGGTATATACTCATGAATATGTCAAAACATTTTTTAAAAACCTAAAAAAATCATGGGTTGATTTATCCATATGCCAATGCCAGATATTTTTTTGCAGTTCTGGCTATTTTGGGCACTTGGAGTTAGAGCAGAGTGCTGGTGGCCATTTTTAATAGGAGCTTGCTGTATAGGTCTCATGAGACTTCCCAGTCTTTTTGCAAGCCTGGCAAGATTTGCAGAGAGATTACAGGAAGCCCCTATTAAAAAATTGTAACCATCACTGCTCTGTTTCAAGTACCCCAAACGGCTACTGCTAAATGCTTCTTGGGCCAAAAAAAGGGAATGTAGAAGGAAGGAAGAAGAGAGCACTCTCTTTCTGGTGTGGGCAAGGGAGGGGTAATGAGGTGGGAACATGTCTTTCCTCTTCCTCTCAGGGTCCCTAATAGAAGCAGATTGCTTTTCTTGCTCTTCTGCCTGCCCTGCATCTCATTCTTTTTTTCACATTTATATTCCTGTCCCTTTCTTTATTGGTATAGATTAGCATTTATCAACCTGAGGACCAGGAACCTTTGGGGGGGGGGGGGGGGGGGGGGGGGGGGGTCGCAGGGTGTGTGTCAGAGGGGTCACCAAGACCATCAGAAAACACAGTATTTTCTGTTGGTCATGGGGGTTCTGTGTGGGCAGCTTGGCACAATTCTATCATTGGTGGGGTTCAGAATGCTCTTTGATTATAGGTGAGGTATCTATCCCAGCAACTACAATATCAAGGTCTGTTTTCCCCAAGCTCCACCAGTGTTCATATTTGGGCATATTGAGTGTCCGTGCCAAGTTTGGTCCAGATCCATTATTGTTGTGAGTCCACAGTGCTCTCTGGATGTAGGTGAACTACAACTCCAAAGCTCAAGATCAATGCACAACAAATCCTTCCAGTGATTTCTGTTCGCCATGGGAGTTCTGTGTGCCAAGTTTGGTTCAAATTCCATCACTGGTAGAGTTCAGAATGCTCTTTGATTGTAGGTAAACTCTAAATCCCAGCAACTACAACACCCAATGACAAAATCAACCCCCCTCCCAACCCCATCAGTATTCAGATGTGGGTGTATCGAGTATTTGTGCCAAATTTGGTCCATTGAATAAAAATACATCCTGCATATCAGATATTTACATTGCGATTCATAACAGTAGCAAAAGTACAGTTACGAAGTAGCAACAAAAATAATTTTATGGTTGGAGGTCACCACAACATCAGGTATTAATGGAGTCCCAGCATTAGGAAGGTTGAGAACCACTGGTATAGATGCAGACATTTTAAGATCCACTATGCAATTTATACATACATAATAACCTCTCAATTAAACAGATTCTCCCTTTCCCTTTAGGTCTGCTTAAGGATGTTCCCTCCATGCATTTTAAAAGGAGAGGAAAATATTAGTCATTTACTACAGGTTGTACCAAAATTCTTACTTCTCTTTGAATAGGTTAACTTATATATGAGTATGCACAATAATTTCCACAAGTAGAAGATAATTTCCCCTTCTGTTGGTCTTGAGCCCATATTCTACTTGGTTATACAAACAGTGTGAAGATTACCTGTCGACACCACTCTTGGATGGCACTCCCAGTGAGCGGACCCTGAATACTGCCATCTCGTCGCAGGTATACTTCCCCTTGGTCTGTTTCATAAAGAAAAAGTTCTTGGTGTGGTTTGGGAGGATGAATTTTTAGCTGAATAACTTTCAGGAAGATGCCAGTGTCTTCAGCTTTGATAACCGGGATGAAACTTAATGTGTAGACAGCTGGGAAAACTTGGGGCTTGAAGCCTTTCAAGACAGAGTCAATGAGCAGGCGAACCCGGTCTTCCTCCTTGTGGTCACACCTGACTCCACGCACGAGGCCATTATCTTCCACTCCCACAAAAAGACTGCCTCCTTCACTGTTAAGGAAAGCGCATGCATACTTCCGCACGTGATGCTTCAAGGTTACTGTCAGATAGTCACCACCGCCACGCTTGAATTCCATATTCCGGGTCTCATTGCCCATGAAAGCTCCATAGAACAGGCACTCTTTGCCCACAATTTCTCTCTGGACAATGACACTGTCTGAACGAGTGCCACTTAGGAACTTCTTGGGTCGGTCTACTAGTCTCCAAGGGTATGGAGCAGATTTTCTAATAGCGTTAATTTGGGTTTCGTTTGGTAGCCCCTTTCTGCTTTTCTCGGGTACTCCCAAAGGAGCCTCTGAGCAGCTCCCAGCAGAGTCACTCTACAGATGTGACAAGAGTAATACATCACTCTATGATCCAAAACCAAATGTCATTAAGATTGTCACTGCAAATTGAATGTACTATTCTTGAATACTGGACTTTTTGGAATTTGGGCGTATTACATTATCTATATGGGGACTTGTAATGCAATACTTCTACTGGTTAATTCTACCTTCAGGTTTAGCACCATGACAAGGAAAGGGCAGGTTGCTTCTGTGTAACTATTTCCTCAAGTGGTCATCTGTGAATTCATACAACTGGATGTTCTGTGTCTGGGCAGAACAGAAACTAGGCAGAAGATTTTTGGTGGTAATCCTGCCCACTCTCCCGAGTGCACATAAGGCGCTGGTTTCTGCCCCCGCCCCTAAGTTCATTTGGCCGCAGAGGGGAGGATGGGTAGGGTTGTGTGAATTCACTGGTGACCACCTGAAATGCAGTTACAGGTAAGCAGCCTGTTTTTTATGATCTCTGTGAATCACAACTGGGTGACTAGTAAGCTAAGAGAGATGGAAGGAGGGATTCATAGCACTCAATAGGAAATTATAAACAAAATTTATTATCAAAAAACCTTTAAGAGTTCACCAACAAACCATATGAAGGTGTGATTTGTCAACCCACAGGTAAACAATACACACTGTTCCATTGAGCTGATTCCATAAAAATTGCAGATTGTAAAAACATTCAGCCAAGTGGTACATGGGACATGAGCAAAGCCTCCCACAGGATGATAACACCCCCCAGCATCCCCTGGGCAACGTCTCTGCAGACGACCAATTCTCTCACACCAGAAATTAAAGTACCACTAGAGCCAGAAGCCTTTCTTTTGGGACTTACAAATTCAACACTACCCAAAAAAAAATCCTGATGTTCTTTTTATACATGGTAACTACAGCAAGGATTGTTTGTGTGTACTATTAGAAACAAGAAGTGATTCCCACCCAAGCTTTATGGATTACAAAAACATTGCACGTGACAGCGATGGACAAACTGACAAGGCTTACACAATCACCAGATCCTAACATATTTGAAGAAGAATGGTAGCCCTTTAATGACGATTTAAAAGAAGAAAATGAAAATATTTGGGGTTTTTATAGCATTAAGAGAAAATTAGTATGCGAATGTAGGAATAACAAGAAAGGAAAAAATAGAGAAGTTAGTGGCAAAAATAACAGGACCCCCAATGATATCTAAGGGATCCTGGAAAGTTAATCCACCAGGGATTAGTTTTATGACAAAAATAATAGTTTTTAATGCTATCAAAAAAAGCAGCTTCCTCTTCCTAGTGAAATGTGGAAAGAAAAGAACTGAAGCAATGGCAGTATATACATAGGGATGGTGAGGGGCAGTACCAGCAAAAAGTATCCTTCAGAGCTCTAGAAGGTTAAGAATTGTACTGTGTGAGTGCAGTTAACCCATTGGTGCGCATTCACAGAGACCATGAAGAAGAACCGTTGTGTCTTCATCTCAGTTAATTAATTGAGTGAGGTGGAGGAGTCAGGGGTCAAAATCATACCCATCAAGGTCTATCCCGCCCGAGGGGGGTATAGCTGGGATTCTGGTGAGCATCCTAGGATCTTTCAGAGGAACCCGAGTGGGATTGAAGGAGTCTGTTGAGAACGGTGAGCCTCAGACTCCGTTCCCAAATTGAGACTGCTCTCTCATGTGGAGCAAAATCTCCTTTTGTAAGGTGATTTAAATATAATATTTAATGTAGGGTACAAATGCGGCTTAGGTAAAGATAAAGGTTTTCCCCTAACATTAAGTCCAGTCGTATCCGACTCGGGTGTGGTGCTCATCTCCATTTCTAAGTCGAAGAGTTGGCATTGTCCATAAACACCTCCTAGGTCATGTGGCCAGCATGACTGCAAGGAGCGCCGTTACCTTCCCGCCGGAGCGGTACCTATTGATCTACTCACATTTGCATGTTTTTAAACTGCTAGGTTGGCAGAAGCTGGGGCTAACAGTGGGTGCTCACACCGCTCCCCGGATTTGAACCTGCGACCGTTTGGTCAACAAGTTCAGCAGTTCAGTGCTTAACCCACTGCGCCACTGGGGGCTCCTTATATGTGGCTTAGATCTAGTTATTTTCTCCTACCTCTCAGCATTGCACAAGTGAAGTACTTTTAGTTATTCAGAAAACTTTGAGAACACATCAGGATTGTTTCCTGGTTCTTGTTTCTACTGTCTTTGAGACTTATCACAGGAGAGGAATCTCTATTCTGCAACCTTACCTCTCCCCCATCTTTGTTACCAAATGTAAACTTATTGCCTTGTCCTACAAGCAGACTTCTTCCTTTTTTCACAAGTTCCTTGGTGAGATGCTGCTCTGTGTCAGAGGCGAGTAGTAACTGTTTTAAGACCTGTTCCAGCCTGACTTCTGTTCCCACCTGGATAAAGGCATGTGCCTGCTTGCGTTTCTTTACCACTTCAACGTGGTGTCTCTGAAGAGTGACACCGGCCATGCCAAGGATATCCTTCAGCATGCCACAGAGGACTTCACGGGAATACTTGGGGTTCAAGTTTCCAATGTAGAGGACATAGCATTGACCAGAACAATCATCTTCTTCCTTCACTTCAGCCTTAGAATCTGCCAATGCCTTCTCTGGATACTGATCAAAACTATTAGCTGGTACTGCACTTTCCTCTATGACCTCCGGAGTTGTTGCTATTTCCATTTTCTGAACCCAAATATGTGAAAAAATTCTAGAGACAGGATCTTAGTCTTCACTGCAATATTGCATGATGCAGATTTGATCTGTTTAATTCAACATTCATGTTGTTGTTTTTTTTTAGAAGTTTATGCTGGAAAGACCTCTCCTTTTCTGGCTTGCTCCTATGGACGGGGTAGAAAGAAAGAAAAGTCCTTACAAGATCCGTGGCTGATAAGGCCACAGTATGGCATCAAAGCCTGTCAGGAAAACATTTGGCTTCTGGTAATCATTACATTACATCGATGTGAGGACTGTGGTCTAGCTGATCATTGCTGACTTAGTGTGGCAGACTACTTTTAACCTTCTTATATGGGGCAGCTTAAATAGATATAAAAACAACAACAACAATAATAACACTCTATTTATAATCTGCCCTAGCTCTCCAAGGGGACTCAGGGTGGATCACATTACACATACATGGCAAACATTCAGTGCTATTTTGGATAGACAGGACAGAGACAGAAAGGAGGTATGTTGTGTCAACATCCAGCTTTTTGGCGCCTTGGAGGTTGCGCTCTAATCCAGCCATAGGGAGGTGTTGTCACACCATCCTCTATGACAAAGAGCCATCCTTCCTCTTGGTTGCTGGGCATTTTCTGATCTTTTTCATTTTATGGTGTCGTTAAATACCACCCCCCCCCCACACACACACCTAATTTCTCTACTTACAGCTCTGTTTTCAAACTGCTTAGGTAAACTGAGCTGAACTGACAGTCAGGTGCTCATGCTGACCTGGGGCTTCAAACTGGCAACCTTTTGATTTGCTAGATCTTATCGCTGTTGGCGATTTACCAGTTGTGCTACAGCCCGGCACTGCATCTGATCAATGTTCCATAAATCTAGCAAACCCACTCTAAACTCTGTTTCCTTTTTTAAAAAAACAATTTATTGTAAATAGCAAAGCTTCCTCACCTTTCCATAATTATTCTTTACATTCATGCCTGCAGCATATGCAAAGCCCAACAGAAGCGATGAAACACTAAGTTTGTTACTTTGTGCTTACACTGTCAAATGAGAATCAAAATTCATGACTTAGTTTTTACAGTTCTTTCAGTGACAATATTTTCATACCATTTATGCTTAATTCTTTTGCTGGCTTCTTGAAATTCACCAGCAAAAGAATCTGAAGCCATACATTCAGAGATTTTAAACAACCCGGCGACACCTGGACTTGTCTATATATATACACACAAATCCCCTGGAAACCCCCAACAACCCCCCATTTTGTTGCTGTTGCTAAACTATTTTGTATTGAAAAACATATGTGGATCACCAAGAGGTCTGCAAGTAGACTATTTCGTTTCTGAAAGCAGGTTCTACAGCTGTTTTCTAAAGAGCTGCTACTATGTCCAGGTTCATGATAGTGGAAAAGTGCTGAGATTTCATGTTCCAAATCCCTAGCTAAATGATGGAAAGGAACTTGAAGGATTCCTATGAAGGCAACACTGTTGCTTTCATTCACTTAATATGTCATGTCGCCAACTTGTAGATGCCACAGCCAAAGCGAATATTTTTCCCAGGTTGAATCCCTCTACTACTCAACTTATTTAAAACTCAACTTACCATGGAAGGAATGAGTATTCATGTTAGACAAGAGTCCAGGTTTCTTGATACCTTTAGCTATAGCAAGTCTATGGCATGCACCTCCACTTATCTTTTCCACAGCTTGAAATTGTGAGGTCATAGATGTATAGTTCTGATGTGTGCTCACAGGTGGTCCCAAGATTGAGAATGCACACCATAGTTCTGGTGACAGAGCCCTGGCAAATACATATATGGACCGCAGCAACCAAGGAAAATGAGTGTCCATTTGGATCATAAATTGTGTCAAACAGACCATTTATTTACATTATTTACATCTAATTCTCATCACTGTACAGCAACTACCTTAAAACTAGTCAAATTGTCTTTGTTTAGCCTCTGTATTCTTTTAAACAAGCTTTGAGTTTATCTCTAGTGGCTCAGTTATACATTACAGAGTTTTCACTATGTGCTCTGGAAACAGCACAAAAATGCATTAGTAACACCGAGCACACGTTTTTTGCCTCAATAGCAAATGATTGTTTAGAATACGGATGACATTTGCACCAATGTTAGCATCCCAAGGCCAGGATCCTGTTAACAATATACTGTATTTCACCCCTAATAGTTGTCACTGTGTAATAGTTGCAGCCCTCTTTGGGGGTCCCAAAATTGACTTCAAGCCTTTCCTCACAATGATCCAACTGGTGCCCTACCTCTCCAAGAAGGGATGAGCACATGGGTGGGAGTGAGGTACCCAAAAGCCGAGGTTGGCAGGCCAGAAAGGGAGCAGGCAGGCATGAGGTGGTGGCAGTGCCTCTGGGCCCAGCGGCTGCCCTTGCCATGAAGCGCCTCTGGAACCAGGAACTTGGTGAGGGGGGCTCTTCTTGTTTGGAGGTCGAAGATGAGTGAGGAAAGCCCAGCCAGCAATCTGGCATTTGGGGTATGGAGGCATTTTGGTGATACACCTCCAGTCCGTTTCATGCATGCGGGTGTTCGTGAGAGTGCAGGGAACGCCTCCCAAGAGACAACCAAGGCTGCAGGAGTCTTCACAAACAAACAAACCAGGGTGATAACTGGGTCCGGAAGCTCTGAGCGTTACGCACATTCCGCAACGGCAGTTGTGAATAAGGGAAGGGACCACATGGTCTTGAGAGGGAGCGGAGTGAGAGGGGGGAGAGTGGTACATTGAGGGTGGGAATATACTTCGTAGTTGCATTTGGTAGAAGGATAGAAAGGAGGGGATGGTTAGGATAAGGTTTAGGGTAAGGGTTAGGGTTAGGGAAAGGTAGGGTAAGGTTTAGAGTTAGGTTTAGTGTTAGGCTTCGGGTAACCACCATTTACTGGGCACAGGTGGAATGAGGGCACCCAGGCAGCACCTACCTGCAATTCTGCAGCTGAGAGAAGCCTACTAGGGTTGTCCTCAAAGTTTCTATGCTGCCTAGATGCTTTCATCCCTCTCCTAGCCCTGGGTACTGAATGCTATCTTACGGAAACAGCATGGGAAGCAGAACTGTGTAGGAAGAGTCATTCTCTAGTTTTATGATATAAGAACCAGGCCCAAATTTGCCAGGTCACACTTAAATGGGTTAACAAATATGTAATGTAAAAAGTTGATCATAAGGAGTTCTCCAGACAGGTGCTGTAATGTTAAGTTACAAAGGGGTTTCTGTGTATGGCATGGACATGTGACTAAGAACAACCAAGTGAGTAGGACTACAAGTGGGAAATTGGTAATTAGAATATTAGAATTATAGAGTTGGAAGAGACCTCGTGGGCCATCCAGTCTAAACCCCTGCCAAGAAGCAGGAAAATCACATTCAAAGCACCCCCGACAGATGGCCATCCAGCCTCTGCTTGAAAGCCTCCAAAGGAGCTTCCACCACACTCCGGGGCATAGAGTATTCCTTCACATAAAACTGCTGGCATTGGAATTGTGTTGCCGCAACTTCTTCTTATTGTCCTAGAACAGCATTTCTCAATCTAGGGGTTGAGACCCCTGGGGTGGTCATGAGGGGTTTCCAGAAGGGTTGCCAAAGACCATCAGGGACCATATATTTCTGATTGTCTTAGGAACCCCTTTCGCAGAGAAGGTTGAAGATCTCTCTGCCTATCCTCTTCCTTTTTGGAAACAGATGGCGAATCCTCCCATCAAAAGCCCTCCTCCACTGTGATTGGCCGGCTTCTCAACAAGATCTATCATTGTTTGAGTCCACAGTGCTCTCTGGATGTAGGTGAACTACAACTTCAAAACTCAAGGTCAATGACCACCAAATTCTTCCAGTACTTTCTGCTGGTCATGGGAGTTCTGTGTGCCAAGTTTGGTTCAATTCCGTTGTTGGTGGAGTTCAGAATGCTCTTTGATTGTCGGTGAACTATAAATCACAGCAACTATAATTCCCAAATGACAAAATCAATCCCACCCCCACCTCCCAAACTTCACCAGTATTCAAATTTGGGTGTATCAGGCATTTGTGTCAAATTTGGTCCAGTGAATGAAAATACATCCTGCATATCAGATATTTACATTACGATTCATAACAGTAACAGAATTACAGTTATGAAGTAGCAGCAAAAATAATTTTATGGTTGGAGGTCATCACAACATGACTGCATTAAGGGGTTGTGGCATTAGGAAAGTTGAGGAACAGTGTCCTAGAACCTCAGGAATCAGGTGCCTCCACTAATTTGTGCTAGGTAGATCGATCACTTTCTCCCTATTTCACTAAAGTTGCAAATACACATTGTAGCCTTGATCAAGTAAACAAATCACCATGGAGTTTCACCAGTACCACTTTCTTTCCCTCTTTTATTTATAAACAAAATCAACAGAGTAAGTGCAGAAAAAATATTGACAGGATCACCCCTGCTTCCTGCTCACAGAAATGTGATTGTGTAGCCAGACAGCAATAAGAAAGACTGTAACCCTGCCCCAGGTAAGCCACGCGTTGGCTGAGTTGCAGTAAGCTCCTTCCCACAACTGGCTTAAGATCTATTTTAGACGTGGGCGTTCACTTGGTTTTGCATTTTAAATTTTAGGTTCTATAATCTCTTCTTCGGGAGCAGTCCAAAAAGTTGCTCTTCGAGAAGAGCCTGATGAGAGAGGAAGAAGTATACACAGGAAGGGTAGTAAAGAATCATAGAATCCTAGAGTTGGAAGAGATCTTGTGGGCCATCCAGTCCAACCCCCTGCCAAGAAGCAGGAAAATCGCATTCAAAGCACCCCTGACAGATGGCCATACAGCTTCTGCTTCAAAGCCTCCAAAGAAGGAGTCTTCACCACAGTCCGGGGCAGAGAGTTCCACTGCTGATGAAAGAAGGGGCTTAAAAACTATGTGTACCATACACTGCCCTATGCCCAGTTTATAGTATGGGGAAGGCCATACATGTCTAATCCAAAGGCCCGTGTCTATGCATCTCAAAAGACATAGCACACTGTTCAGTGTCTGGAGTAGGTAAGGAAATCAAAGCCCTTATAGTTTTGCTTTTTGGAAGTACAGAAGCCTTCATTCATGGATCTCAAGAGAAGCAGAACTTTGAGGCACCAGCTTAAGACCTTCTTTTCTCATTTTCATTTACTAGCAGGAAAAGTTCTCAGTTCTGGAACAGCAGGGGTCACTGCTTAAGTGCCATAAAAATAAATACATTAAACATTTTCCAGCATACATACAATACAAATTGAGTCAAGTTCGTCTGCTCACACCGGGGGGTGGACAAACATTTCAAAAACCAGTTTCCTATATAGTCAACGCCACACCGGCCTCTCAGATAGCCATAGTGTGAAGTGGAGGGATGTTGAATGGTACTACTGTCGAATAAGAAAATTTTATTTCCCAGCAAAAAATCTCAAACAGCGGCTATTTCAATATCAAGTAGAAAAAAATCATATTCTTGGGCGTGCTGGGCTATTTGGTTATCTGCCCTGACATCTGGGTAAAGAAAGCTCTTTCTTCCCGCCGACTTATCTGAAAAGCTTCCAAGGTGGGTGATAGTGATATTAATACAGATCCACTTTTCAGCCCATCACAATTATCCTCCCTTTTCGTTCCAAATAAATATTAGAACTCTACTATCTCCATGAAGGCAAAGGGAAAAAAATCTATATTGAGATCGCAGGGCAAGCAGAATGGTGCGTCCTCTGCTATAATCCCTGACACCAAGGGAGTGGATAATCTGGATAACAGCACCTGGTTATCTTATGAAAGAACTAGTTCCTTGCAGTTAGTCTTTTCTGCATGGCACAGAAAGGGAACAAGCTCCTGGCACTGCCCAGCCAAAATGCACTCTTTGTGCAACATGAAGACAATCCTTGAGACGGGCAGGAAAAAGAACGTGGTGCAAAGAAGGGCCCAACAGCGACGTCCAAGGCAAATGCGGCTCTTCCAGAGCTCCAGATACAAAACAAGCTCACCTTCCCTGTAAGGTTGCCTACGGTCCTAAATCCCACCAGCAGAAAGTCGAGGAAACCTTGATCCTTTCAGGCCAAGCTGTATGCAAGTCTCATCTGAAGGTTTGGCGTGCCCGGGGTCTTCCTCTAGGATAAAACCTTCTTTTCTCTGGTAGCGAAGATATTCTTGTAGTGCTATAATGCGGGTTTACGTTACCTGTCTGAAATTCAGGTTTACGTTACCTGTCTGTATTGGTGTTTGCAAGACTTGTGCCAGGAAGACACTTTATTCTTCAGAACTTGCCCTGTTTTAACTTGTCAATATGGTAGCTGAGTTTCAGTGCTGGACCCAGCTTTAAGCCCATGTATTTCATCATCATGTCACTGCGCAATAATAGCAAGGCCTTGCCATCAATTTCCTAGAAACACACAGAGAGAAAAAACACACATTTTGTTGGAATTCAACCCCACACTGCCCAAGCCTCAAGTCCTCAATTAGGAGCAGTCAGAGGCGGTCCTAGGTAATTTTCAACGGTAAGCAAACAGTATTTTGGCACCCCCCCCCCCAACCAATATATATATTCCGCTTGTCATGGGAGTTCTGTGTGCCATATTTGGTTCAATTCCATCATTGGTGGAGTTCAGAATGATCTTTGATTGTAGGTGAACTATACATCCCAGTAACTACAACTCGCATATGTCAAGGTCTATTTTTCCCCAAGAGTGCCTCAAGAGCGCCCCTGGGCAAAATCAATTATACTGAAAATGCTTACTTTGCGTAATGGGTTGAGCTGTCCCTGGGAACAGTTTAGTTAGCTCATTTATTTGCCATATTTATTTCCAACTTTTCTCTACCCCAGCAGAGGGACTCAAGGCGGCTTACAATGGCACATACACAGTATCTCAAAACAAATTCACCTAAAAATTACAACATATTAGACATGACTAAAATACATTCAAAGTTAAAAACACGCCATCCAGAGTTCAAGGTCTAAGGCCATTCCAAGGTCAAATTGCACATAATTATATATTCGGAACACTGCATTGCTCTAATTTTTGAAAGCCTGCTCCCAGAGCCAGGTTTTGACTCTCTTCCTGAAGGCTAGTAGGGAGGAGGCTGATCTGATGTTGCTAAGGAGGGGGGTTCCACAACTGAGGGGGCACCACTGAGAAGGCCCTGCCTCTCGTCCCCTTGTGAGGCAGGTGGGACCAAGAACAGCCCCCTCCCCAGATCTCTGAGCTGGTTCATAGGGGAATATACGTTTGGACAGGTAGCCTTGGCTTGAACTCTTTAGGGCTTTATAGACTAGAGCCAGCACTTTGAATTGTGCTCGGTAGCAGACTGGCAGCCAGTGGAGCTGGTGCAACGATGGAGTTGTATGCTCCCTGAGCGCCACTCTGGTGAGCAACCTGGCTGCCACTTGCCGAACCAGTTGGAGCTTCCGAACAGTCTTCAAAGGCAGCCCCACATAGAGCACATTGCAGTAATCTATACAGTATGTAACCAGCACGTGGACCACTGTGGCCAAGTCAGACTTCCCAAGGTATGGGTGCATCTCTTAGCTTAGTATAGGTTTCCCTTCCTCCATGTTTCCTCAATGACAGTTGGGAATGTCTCTTTTTCTTCTCTCTTCTCTCTTTCTGCACTCATTCTGATTGGTTGTTTAAAATGGATACTTTTCTATTGCTAGCTTTTTGAATCTGACTTTTTGAATCTGACACTTTTAGTATGGAGAGTATGTGCTGTGTGTTTTGAGATCTCTCTCCGCATGTGTGTCACAGAGATGTAGCGCTTGGATAATTTTTCCTTTCATGAAACCTCAACTTTAAGTGTCCTGTTTATTTTTGGATGCTGTGCTTTATTCTCTAACACATTTAAGATATACGTGGCCTAACGCATTAGTAAGCTAATGCTTCAACATAAGCAGAAGCCTGAAAGAGAGGGCTGGGATAGAGCTAATCTGGGATAATACTATCACAGATCTGGTCATCTTATCAACATTACATGCAGGGCCTGTGGGATGGTCATCTTCTTGACAGAACATCTAGTGAGCTCCATCTGCACCTAGTGCAATCAGCTTACTCAAGGCCCGTATTGAAACACTTAAGGACATTAAGAAACCTCTCATTCTCCCCAAGGTGTTGTATTTCCTCATTATCTGTTACTGGTGAGAGAATTTGGAATCAATTGTGTAACTCTAGATTAACAGAAGGATTCACAGAATGATGCCTGGTCCTCTTTCTCTTTTTAAATATCACATTTTTCCAAGCATCGGCATTCTCTGCATTTGAAGTGACTTCTCATAGCCTTGCCCTGCATGTCCGACTGATGTGAGTTGTGTATCTAGAATAGTCTGCCGGGCTGTGTCTAAGAAAAACTTGAGTTCTTAGACATAACTGAGTGGACCGTCCTTGGTTCAATGCATGGGGGATGTCACTGGGGAAGAGGACAGTTCACAAACATGAAATCTGAAGTTATAGAATGAAGTAGAGGTTCTTTTCCCAACTGCAGATGAGGCAGAGCAAGAACACACTAGGAAGAATGAGGGTGTCTTGGACTGGATAATCCTTGATGAATGCAGGGGACTGTCTCTGAGGAGGCCAGTTTAGAGTGACACAATCCAGTTCTTCAACAGGGTCAGTTTTCAGGAGATCTGCAGAGCACCTTATAGGAAAGGGACCCTGTCAATCCTCAAATGAGATGGGTATTGGTCATAGGTGACTCTCCCCTGAGAGGAAGAGAAGTGGGATGTCTAGATAAATATGCTGCCTCCCTGGGACAAAAATCCACCATGTAACTCAGCAGCTGAGCAAATTCATCAAGCCCACCGACCCTCCACCTTTCATGTTGGTTCAATGATACTGCAAGGCATAGTCTACAAAAGATTAAAAAGGATTTTGAAGCGCTTAGAAGAAAGCTAAAAGATCTTAATGTACAGATGTTATTTTCCTCTCTCCTCCCCATTGTACAATGTGACCCAGGAAGTGAGAAAAATAGTACAGGTGAATAACTGGCTCTGCAGATGGTGTCAGGAAGAACAATTTGGCTTCCTGGACCATGGTCTGCTTTTCCAGGAAGATGGCCTACTGGCATGGGATGGGTTGCACCTCACAGAAGTAGGAAGGAATGTTTTTGCTCAGAGACTGGCAATCCTAACCAGATGTTAAACTAGGTTGTGTGGAGGAGGGTGACAATATCCTTGGAGTGAAGGTCTTACCAAGGCCTGGAGTGAACAGCCAAAAAGCCAAAGAGAGGAGTGGACAAAGACAAGTACCAAGAAGGAAATATGGACAAAGAAACTAAAATAAGCTTATGCTG